AGAAACCGTGGACGTACAACGTGGAGTAATTTTCTGTAATTGAACTAATTTATGTGATGCTTGTGCCAATGATTGTAGTCTCGTCGAGTCCGTACTCCTCCGAGGAACGTTATACCTGAGTTCATCGTTTAGCGTGGAAGGATACTCGAGGGGCCATTTTCAAATTCTCGTGAAAATAACGCTTTCTACGTTTGAACTTACGCAAACTACGTTCCACTGTTCCCTCTGTGAGGAACAACAGCCCTAAATCGAGCTTTTGTGCTCCTTCATAGAATCGGCGTCATAGAAGACAGAATAATCATACCGTTCCGGAATTACTGTTGAAATAGCGTTTTCTGTAACTGAACTTATGTCATCCGTGCGCAAATACTGGTTACGACTTGTGAGTCTATTCTCCTTTGAGAAACAATGCTCCTGATTTTCAGGTGGTGTGAAGAATATCGACACTATAGTCGAATTTAATCGAATTATTAATGCGTGTGTGGTTCGTCCCCTATTTTCAGACCCCAATAAAATTGTAGGTAAAGGTCACTCGGGGTTCTCTTTCAACATTGCGACCAAAATAGCGCGATCCCTCATAGTTCCATCATAGTCTTAACCATGTTTTGATGCCAGGTGTGCGATGATTCGATTTATACTCAAAGGACTGCCTTCGAACTCCGCTGTTCGTCAAAACTGCTCAAAACCGAGGAAACTAAGCGACCGTTAACGAAACACAACGACCTCTATCTTTATCCTTCTCTTTGTCGCCACCGATACCACGTGACTCGAGCAATCCGTCCAGCACCACGGAAGAACGAAATCGTTTCGATCGATGATTGCACCGTTTGGCAGTACCGCGCAATCAAGAAGCAAAAATGCGATATTTTCGTCTGGCATTGTTATCCGAATAGTTATCTATCGTTATCTGTTTTACTTTGTTAACAAGTCGGAATCGTTGTTCGGCATTGATTTCCTGGTTTATACTGTCTCTCCATAAACAGCGGCTTCTATTTTTAACCATTCCGTTGTTAATCGCTGACGACCGTCGGTTCTAGGGACCTGCACGGCTCCGAATCGCTTCCGAAGTATATCGAAAGTACATCGCTCGTCGAAAAGCGAACGAAATGCCAGGTAAAGAAAGCCAAGGCTACCGTCGAAAAACGTGATCGATATCCTTATCTCCGCGTCTCGTTGATCGCCTGTCAACGCGGATCGCTATTCAATGGTCTCGTTCAGCTCGAAGGGTCAATAATTCGTAGCTAGTTTCTTGAACCGTGCTATTGGTCGAAACCGGCGGCGGAATATCTCTCCCGATCTCGTTATTTGTACAGCGAATTCGCACTCGAGCGACACCGCAAACCACCGCGAGGAAATAACTATTCGGAACTGGTTTATATCGAGCTAGTCCAGCCACTTTAGATTCGATTGTGGGAATACTTTTATCGAGCTGATCTGCGCGCGCGCGCGCGAATTATACCAGTTTCTTTTTTTTTTTTTTTTCGTACCTATCCGAGTAATCGTTGCGTCATCCCGTATCTCGATATTTAACGCGGTGTTAGTCATTACTGGAAACGGGGACGAGGAAATTTTTGTACGAGGAAAGTAGCGATACGTTTCTTTCGTGTAATCAACAATTTACATATGGCATCAGGCGAAAAACCTCGAATTCCGATCGACATATCGCAGTCACGTTAGCGTTTTTGTAATTCTTTCCTTCTTCTTCTTCTTCTTCTGTTTTCTTACGTTTTTGTTTCGCGCTTCGAAGTTTCCGTTGCATGTTAGCGATTTATCACGATTTATCACCGACTCTGCACAGTTTCTGCGCGGGAACCTTTCCGTGTGTAAATAAATAGAAATACAGCCCCGAATTAAACGATAGGTTTGATGTATTCAAATAAATATTTCGTTATAAATACACGCATAAAGTTCGCTCGTGTACACATTTATAATAAAATATTTATTTGGAGATATCTGACTTGTCATTTAATTTTATGAGACTGACTGTATACAATCGACTTTCAACTCCAAAAAGAAAAAGAAACGTATCGCACCTTTCCTTTATTTTTTATTTTTTCATTTCCTTATCTTCGCTTTTGACTATAACGAATGTTACGTGGTTCGTTGAAAATGTATCCCTGCATTAATAACAGAGCGTTTAGCACGTTATTTGTAACGAGTTAGTAAAAGTATATGGAAAAGACGAGCTCGATGAAAATATTTGCATAACGTCGTGTGTATTTCAGTCTAGAGTGAGTGGACCGGAGGTGCGAATTGACAGAGGTGTCAAGTGCGACAGTGACGTGTTTAACCAGGAGGTCCTCGTGACTTTTTAGTGTTCTCGTTCGCGAGCGGAACCGTCTACGTCTCTCTCGATCTTATTCCGATTGGATGTCACGCGACCGAGCGTATTTCTGGTCGCAGTAATCGCACGATGCCATATTGAAGAGCCGTGGAAACGACGCGTTCTCCTTCGATTTCTTAACGAACGAAAGATAAACAACCTTTCGATCCATTATTATTTCCAATCGAATCAGCGATTTGAATTACACGACGAAATTAGATTCAAATCGATCCACGTCACCGCGAATCGAATTTATTCAACGACGTCGAAGGCTTCTCGATTCGAACGTAAATGTAAAAAAGACGATAACGAAAATTTGTAACGTGCGTTACTTGTTGTTATTGTCGTTGATCAATTCACGTGGAGGATGGCGAATCGGTCGAAATCGTTTACGCTCGAACCGCGAGCCTTTGGACGTCAGCGAATACATCTTATTTCCATAGAACATTGTTTTGAATTAATTTAAATGGTAAACAAGCGTTAGTGACATTTTAAATTAAACACTGATAGCGAATCGCTATATAAGCATCCCTGTTCACCGTTTGTTAGAGGAATCTTCGAAGCTGCGAAACGCTCGATCCTAAAATTATTACGAATTTCATTGCTCGAAATTTTGAATCAAAATATTTGGTTGGATTTAAGAAAATGGGGTTAGCTGACGGTTACAATGGTGGCCGTCTTGACATTTAAATCTTGAAATGGTTCGATCTATTGTTTGAAAATCTGGAAATCTACTGTCTGAGTAGGTTTCGGGTAGTTTTTGGTAGGAATATTGAATACTGTTAATGTATATATGGTCTACACGGAAATACTGTCTGAGAAGGTTTGGGGTAGTTCTTGAAAGGAATATTGAATACTATTAATTTATATATGGTCTACACGGAAATACTGTTTGAGAAGGTTTGAGGAACTTTTTGGTGGGGGGGGGGGGCAATATTGACTACCGTTAATGTACCTACTGTCTGAGAAAGTTTGAGGTACTTTTTGGCCGGAATATTGACTACCGTTAATGTAACTACTGTCTGAGAAGGTTTGAGGTACTTTTTGGCGGGAATATTGAATACTGTTAATGTATGTACTGTCTACACGGAAATATTGTCTGAGAAGGTTTGGGGAATTTTTTGGTAGGGGCGACAATATTGAGTACCGTTAATGTACATACTGTCTGAGTATGTTTGGAATAGTTTTCGGTGTTTCGACAAACTTCATTTTCTTAAACTCAACCAAATATTGAAATGGTCAACAAGCATTGATACCATTTGAAATATAAAATCAAAATTATTGCCTCGATCCTAAAATTATCGCGAGCCATCTTATCATTCCAAAAATAAAAATAATCACATGATGGAAACATCAAGCTCTACATCGTACTCCGAGAGGTATTAAAAAATCGTCCGATAATAGCGAATCCAGCAAATGGCCTCATAGGTTAACGCGATAAAAGAAAAAAAAAAAAAAAGAACCAATGCACGACAATTTCTCCAACCCGAACAAACGTGCGAAAAGAACACGAGCCAAACGTGGTACACGCTAGAAGCAAAGAACGCCTCGAAAGCTCGACTTTATTTTTTTCGCGATTTCCATTCACCGTTCGGAACAATGCCGGCCGAGCTTTCTCTAAATCAATAATCGCAACGTTTCGAAGCGGCGCGCGTTTGTTTTTCCACTCTTATCACGCCGATTATAAGTACACGCCAGGTATTATTTTAGGCGAACGATCGACAGTGATGGAGCACTCGCGTCCACTCGATGATTCAGTTCGCAAATATGTACAAAGCTATTTTCACGTGCGCGCGTTTAAAAGGACCTAACCGTTTCGCCCTCGATTCGATATATCGCCCATCGTTTTCCGTTGTTTTAATAAATCTTTTTTCTTTTCATTTTTTCGAGCGACTCGTTATCGGCATAAATTCGACGGATCCGCGATCTCGTTTGTACGCTAACGAAACGTTCGCTTGCCACATCATGCGTTAAATTTAAATGATCTTCGAGTGAAAGTCGCGCGAACGGATTACCAAATGTTCGTCGCGCTGCTACCGGCATACGATATCGATCGCGATCGATATTTTCGCGTCGACCGAAAATTCTTTTACTTCTTTTTTTTTTTATTTTTAAATTTAGTAGGAAATTTAGTAGGTAGGTAGGTTCTTTTTATGCGACACTCGTTAATTATGTAAGGGTCTGAGATTTTAACAAATTTCTTAGATAGGAGTGGGGGATCAAAGCCGTTCCTATGTAATATTTTTGCTACATGCTTTAGCGTAACCGAATTTTCTTCTAACGAAATTTGACTATTCATATAGGGAATTTTTTTCTAACGAAATTTGACTATTCATATAGGGAATATTTTTCTAACGGAATTTGACTATTCGTATAGGGAATATTTTTCTAACGGAATTTGACTATTCATATAGGGAATTTTTTTCTAACGAAATTTGACTATTCGTATAGGGAATATTTTTCTAACGAAATTTGACTATTCATATAGGGAATATTTTTCTAACGAAATTTGACTATTCATATAGGGAATATTTTTCTAACGAAATTTGACTATATTCATATAGTCGAAGGCTCGACATCGAAAGTGCCGTCACGGTTATCGTTGTTAACATTTCTAGAAAGTTCAAACATCGGTCACACGTCGAATACATAACCTCACGTGGGCTTTCACTTTCAGAAACAGTTCAAATACAAGAGCCTAGAGAAGCTGTTCACGGTCTACCAGAGGAGGGTCCAGTATGGTTATCTGTCGCTCTTCGTCCTGCTGCAACTGGCGCTCGGCACCACGTATTGTTTGATCTTGGTAACAATGGTGAGCGAAACTAGATTCCTAGATGGCGTTACTTCGCCGAAACTAACGAATAGAAAGCAGAGACGGGCGAATTTTCTACCCGTCCGCGAGTTTCCAATTACTCGCTAAAGGTAAACACGTGACTCGTTATTTACCGAGTTGTATTTTTAACGTTTTCCAAGAGGGTCTCTACAATTTTATTTCTTAACGAATTTAATATATTCTGTATACGTATAACACAAGGAAAACTCACGGATGAGAAAACGTAATATATTGAATGAAAACTTATACGCTAACGGTTACATAGAAATATGAAAATATGTATAAACGTGAAAAGTACATGGTGCTGGTTGGTTAATACGTTTTATTGGCTTACAACTAAAATGTATACAGCCTTGTTATCTTATTGCTAGTCATCCTTATCGTATACATCTACAACTAACGTCCATTTGAACTATTGCAGATTCCTTATTTTGGATATAACTCTCTTACTTACTATTACTGTCGATAAATTTATATAAAAAATATTTCACTGTTCGTCCTATATTCTAGTTATACATTTGTATACATGGTGTTTTACACCATACTGCTACAGCGCCACATAGGGAGGCATGCAGGAACTACTTTATATCCTGTAAACCGTATAAATTTCCACGATATATTATCTAATTTCCTTTCATTAAAAAATAAATTTTAAAGCTTCCTCCGGGAAACCCTTTACCAATTAAATTATATCAATCAACAATTCTCCGAATAATCGCAAATAAATCGTGTGTGAACTCTTCATTCGTCGCGTATATTTTAAGTAAAATTTGGACGAAAGTTTACGTAACTCCTCTCTGCTTTCTCTAATTTATAATCGCGCGCAGGCTTGTCTAATGTTTCGCGCCTAATGTTGTCTAATATTTTATCGGTATGTAAGAATTCTACTTGTTTTCGCGTCGCGGAATTTGTCAACAGAAATAAATGTAATTATTATTTACGCGTACTCGACGATTTTCGAAAGTCCAACTGTCGTCGAACTTCAAATATTGGAACGCTATTAAACGGCGTTACGTGGACGCGGCGATCATGCGACGTGGATCGACTAATTTTTAGAAAATACACACTCGAAATGCGCTCGCGGCCTGTTAATTTCTAAAGATCAGTTTATCTAGTTAACTTTGTATGGTTAGCATGTAGCGCATGCACATAAATTAAGTAACGAGTATGTACATAAATTATGCCCGCATTAAGGACTCCGAGATAAATATATATCGGTCACCATTTCACAAATTGGTACGTACAGTGTGTCGAAGATACAATAATTCATTAACAAACGGTTTATTTTTATTATTAAACTGTCCTATTTCCAAAATAACATTTGTAAATAACATTTGTAAATGACATTTGTATTTCAATATATTAATGATTTTAGATTCCCGTTGAATATTTCCCAGTCGAAGAGTGCTCGAATTTGGATTAGAAGATCCAACCGCACTCCGAGCTGAGCAACTTTTATTATTTTTAATAATAAAAGCCTGTTTGTTTCCCGAAACGAAATATTTTCCCCGAATGGCTCGCTTCCTGTGACCTTGGATACGTAGAGTTGACCTCGTAGGTTGTCGTACCAAAGTAAATAAGAAAATAAGAAAATAAGAAAGTATGCCTTTAAGAAGAGTGAACGAACGACCTCGAAACGTCCTTGGCGCCCCTGGAACCAAAAAAACATCGGCGAACTATGTTCTTCGTGTAAACCAAACAACTTCTGCCTGAAATATTTTTTCTTCTATCTTTAAAAATAGACTAATTAACCAGGTGACCTGTTTCAGATGCCCCGCCCTGTGCATTGCTCCACTTAAGTTTTCATTATTGCGACGCTTTAATTACATAAACAACAATAACTTAGACGCGTTACACAACCGCCCGGGACGCGTCTTTCCATGTTTGCGCGTCACGTGTCCAATTTTCCTTAAATCGATAATTTCCCATTGGGAAGGAGTGCCCGGTCGTCACGCTGCAATCACCGTACGCTACACGGTGTTTAAAAAATAAAAATCTCACTCTCTGTTGTACGCAATGGACCCACTGTTTATAATACTGTGTATATTTCTTCAGTGCGTGGAAGCTGTTACTATACTTTATTTTATTTAACCAGTCAGCTGTGTTTGACGACTATGCAGTCGTCATGGCGTATATCGTGAAGAAATTACATTTTGTGTAATGATGACTATATTCGTCTATACAGGGTGTTCCAAAAATGTTGTAACACCTTGAAAGGAGTGGTTCGGGAGGTGATTTGAAACAACTTTTTCCTTAGCGAAAATGTTGTCCGAGGCTTCGTTGAGGAGATATCAACGAAAAACCACCGACCAATCACAGCGCGCGGTCGGCGGCGAGAGGCTGGCTCGAGCCACGACGCCCCGCCCAGCCATCGGGCCAGCCTCTCCCGACTGAGCGCGCGCTACTCGGGCGCTGCGATTGGTCGGTGCTTTTTCGTTAATAATTCAAAAACGAAGCATCATACGACATTTTTGCAAAGGAAATTTTGAATTGCCTCGACATATACTCAAGCTCCCACGTGTTCATCTGAAAGAACTCTCTGTACATTGTTCGGAAAATATAATAATGTAATAATGTAATGTAATGTAAACTTTTACTCTCAACCCTGTATCTACTAGAGGATCTTATTCTTCGTAGCGATTGTTTCGCGAAACCCTCTAGTGAATATTCTAGCATCCTTCCATGATCGCCCGCACGTTGACGAGCAAAAATATAAACACGTAACGCTAATCTCCTAACGAAGCGATAGCGCTGCGAATTCCTTGAGCTCAATAACAAAAGAAAGGTAATTCAAATTACCCGACGACCGAGAACTACATTTCTTTTCCATTTCCAAATTCAAACAAACGCATTCTCAATAAGTATCGATCTAATGGATACATTTTCAACGTCAGATAAGTGTGTTTAATACCAGTAATTTGTACGATTACGGTAGAAATGGGTACAAACGAAACGAAATTCATTTGGAAAAATGATTTATAATCGACGCTTCTACTGGTAGATTCTAGATCGTTCATAATTAAAACTGAATTTTTGACCAACAGGTCAGCATCGAGAACTGCGTGCCGGACGTGGTCGTCTACAGCGTGGGAAGCGCGCTGCTGTGTCCCGTGATAGCGCTCTCCTTCCGGTCGAAGATCATCGCGAAGAACACCTACATGCCCGTCATGCTGTCCTGCCTGATCGTGGTGTTGCTGGTGACCGGCGACCTGGCCGTCCCGTTGTACTACACCCTCACGTACACCGAGAACATACCACCGATAAGGTAACGGCGATAACGCGAGGAACTGCCCCCGCTTCTCGTCCCAAGGCCGCCAATTTAATTATCGCCGACCTCAGCTGGGTTTTTTCCCCCAGTTTCAGTCTCGTGGGTCGTTTCCTCGAAACAAACTGTTACGAAACATCCTCGACCAGCTTATCGATGTTAATCTAACGATGTTAATCCTAGTTGTGGTTCCTTTGCAACAATTAACGTTGGGTAGAGACGTAACTCTACACGTAGAGCTCGATAGCGGGATTTAGAGCCTTTGTAACCTCTGAAGTTCGAGGACCTCTGAGCAATGTTATCTCTAGCGCTATTATTGTAACGTTCGGGCCCCGCTTAGGCCTGGTATAGTTATATCTAAGCAACCTTCTGCAATAATTAATGTTAAGTTCCATATGTAGCACTCGTGAGTGGACTTTAAAGTCTCTGTGACCTCTAAAGTTCAAGGACCACTGAATAATATTATCTCTAACGCTATCATTGTAACGTATAGGCACCTCTACGGCGTCATTTTACGATTCTGAGCGAGCTCCTACAACGATTAATGTCAAGTTCCACGCGTAGAGCACAAAAGTGTAAATTTGAAGCCTCTGTAACCTCTAAAATTCGAGGACCACCGAACAATATTATCTGTAAAGCTATTATTGCAACGTTCAGGCCCCTCTTTCGCTATAGTTATACCTAACCAAGCTTCTGCGATAACTAATGTTAAGTTCCATATGTGACACTCTAAAGTTTAATTTTAAAGTCTCTGTAATCTCTAAAGTTCAAGGACCACCGAACAATATCATCTGTCGCGCTATTATTCTAACGTCCACGCCTCTCTTCGTTCTACAAATTATTCGAGCATCCGTTCTCGAAGACTTGCTCGCAACTCCAGCAACTCCGAACTCCGGCAGAGGTTTAATTCCAAGGACTCCGCGACAGTCCCACAAGACACTTCCTGTTTTCCGTTGGCTCGTGTTACCTGCGTTGTAAACCGTATCCCTTCCGGGCCCGATGACGCAGATAAGGAAGCCACCGTAAATTGTTATCTCTCGTTATTCCGACCACGGCACGTTAACATTGTACAGGCGAGCAGTTTTCGCGTGTATCCGACGGCTATGACGCCATTGGCCTTTCAGCGGGATACGGTACTTTGTGTGCCTTCGGTAAATTCGAAATCATTTTTTGAACCAATAGACCCGCAGACATGAAAGATTTTACGATGTATGTAAAACAGCTCGATATATCTAAATATATACGTTAGCCAGAGGTTCTCAAGCTTTGCTTCGCAAATAATCGTCCTCGGGCGAACGTTTACGCACGGCTACTTTTAATTTGTTTACGTTCGAAGAAAAGTTACAAGATCCCGCCGTCGTTATTGTTTCCTGTGCTTTTCGCGACGGGAATACAACATCTTCATTCATGCTTCCGTTCGAGTTCCGAGCGCTCATAAAAATTGTACCGTAAATCGTCCGAAACGTCTTCGCTTAACGACCACTTAAATTCTCACTTCCTCGTCGCGATATATTTCGTTCTACGGTGTAAACTCTATTTCTAATCCAACGAGTAACGAACGTTTATCTTTAAGTCCTTAAATATTTTTACCCGGATAAGAATTTTACCTATCCTTACTCTCTCGTCAACGTCGAAGCTGGGAAACGTGATTCCCCGCGCGCCAGAGGCGTGTAATTTTTATTATTAGATCCCATCCGGCTAATTGCGAGCACGTACCACCTTTTCTACCAGCGAACGACGCCGTAGCCATGAACTTCCCGCTCCGTACGTGTAACTGCGTTTCTTTTTTAGACCTGCATACGCAACGCACGCGCTCCTGGCTTGTTACGTCTTCCTACCACTCACGGAAAATCTGCACGCTTTCATACTGGGGATCACGGCTACCATGTGCTACCTGGTCACTCTCTCGTTGATCACTTACAGGAACGCGACTGATTTCGCCACCAAGGTAAACGAGAGTACATGTCGTCCAGTTCATGCGGGACTGGTGACGCTTAAACGAAGAAACAGCGCTGTTCGATATTATTAAAGGATCTTTAAAATTGTCACGGCGGAACCTCGATTACTCCAACGAGAAATGAAAGTTTCTGCGATAGTAGAGAATTAGTAATAGAATCGTGATAGGACGCCACGATCTTCGTGGTTCATGTGGTACTGCACTGCGTTGCAGAAAGCGTTTTGTTTTTAATGGTAGCCGAAAGCGTAGTATTGAGCGTATTGCGGCGACCCTTGTAACATTAATATCGAACTAATTCTTCTACAATTATAACGATACACAAATTTCACTTTGTCCAATACGTAAAATCGACGTGATCTTCTAATCGTTTCGACCAGCGTAATTGCTTCCAATTGAACGTCGTTGTATTTCAATCTCCGCTTCCACAGATTATCACGGACACGATTTACTTTGTTTGCGTGAACGGCCTAGGATTGTACTTCAGATTCATGAATGAGGTTTTCATCAGGCGCACCTTCCTCGATCGCAGGAAGTGCGTGGAATCAACCCTGCGGCTTACTTATGAAAAGGATCAGGAGGTGTGTATCGTATATTATTTTCACGATGAAGTTGAATGTTGCTACACGATCTTAAAAAATCCTTAGGAACAACTCACGCGGAGCATACTTCCTCAACACATAGCTGCGAAGATCAAGAAGGACTTTAGGGATATTTTCAAGTTCATAGAGGAACACAAGACGCCACCGCCTAAAGGACGAACTCATAGGTACGAGTCCTTTCCAACGATTGCCGTACTTTAAGTCATTTATGAATTATTATATTTAAAAAATAGCAAAATTGTAATTGATCGTTCGGCTTGCAGTGACCTGTGCGTCGAGACGCACAACAACGTGAGCATTTTGTACGCAGACGTGGTGAATTTTTCTGGGCTGACCGTGGCACTTCCGGTGCGGAAATTGGTGGAAACATTGAACGAGCTGTTCGGAAGCTTCGACGAGGCGTCGGAGAGGCACAACGTCCTGCGAATTAAATTCCTCGGCGATTGCTATTACTGCGTTAGCGGAGTACCGACTCCAAACTCTCAGCATGCGAAGAGCTGCGTGGATCTAGGTACTTTGCCACTATCTCTGAGTAATTCCACGTCGAGTCGATCGCTTTTGAGCTTTAACAGTAATCCTTTCTTGGATTTTCCGTGGAATACGCATAAACTGATACGTGCTCTTGCAGGACTCGATATGATAAAAATCATCAAAGAAGTGAGAGAAAGGCTGCGCCGCGAGTGCGGAGTAGATGTTAACATGAGGATTGGCGTTCATTCTGGAAACATAATATCGGGGATCCTGGGCGCCAACAAGTGGCAGTACGACGTATGGTCGCGCGACGTTGTGATAGCCAATAAAATGGAGCAGACGGGCAAACCGGGCAAAGTGCACATCACCCAGCAGACGTTGGATCTCGTGGACGCCAGAGAATACAACTGCGTTCCCGTAAAGTCCTTGAACGACGAGATTTTGAAGAAGTACGACATCCGCAGCTACCTGATCACGCCTCCTGTATCCGACGACGAGCTGACCACGCAGGTGCGTATTTCCCAGTGGCGTAGGAAGCCAGAGGCATTAACGAAGAATGAGTAGCCGTTGAACAGAGTACGAGGAGTTCCTACGCCACTGATTCATTCTCAACCTTTCGAACGAACTTCCGTTGAGCGTTTCGCATCGTTGACAGGCGAACCTTGTTGCAGAACAGCGAGAACACCTTGACGGTCATGACTCCGGACTCCCCTCCGGTGGCTAACAGGCATTACGTGAAATTTTACAACGTCAGGTCCACCAGTGTCACGTCCAACAGGAACAGCAGACGTCTGACGGGTACCGTGAATAATCACGTCGACGTATTAGCCAGCACCTACAGACGGCGGACTCACTTCATGGACGCCTGCTTGAGGGACTATCATTTGATGCTGAAAGCCGCGGATGCGGAGATGGAGAATGCTATTAAGCACATGCCTCTCGCCAAGTGGGAGTAAGATGTCTACGATATATCGCGACCCACACTCGTACACTAGAATTCCTAAATAGAATAGTCCTAGAATATCTAAATGTATATATATATATATACATAGATAAAGATCTTCCAAGAAAGGGAACGACTGGCTACCCTCCAGCGACAAACGTGGGGGAATCCCTACAGAACGGTAGTTTAGATAAAGTTGCTATTTTTTCTTATCAGAAAATCCGAAGATTAGCGGTAATAGAGTCGGAGAACTGATAACAAAGAACAGTGACGCGGTACCAAAGTGCAAATTGACTCTCGAGTTAAAATAACTTCAACATGTCACGGATAAGAAGAGGTGGCAATTCTAGTCATAGCTATAACAAACATTATATAATAATATATTGGTTCGTCCAAAAAGTTCCTGCCTTAAAAAAAATTCAAAGGCACATTTGAATTTTGATTTACAAAGCATTTCAATATATTCAGTTCTGTACCTCCTAATAATAATCGGTCTAAACTAATGACCTAATCCAGACATAATCGCTATAACTGTGATATTTTCTTTTTCAGGCAATGGTTCAAATGGGAACACATAAACCCGTTGTTGTTAACGTTTAAGCCTTGGAACTGGGAATGGGAGATACCATTTCTGAAGGAGCCCGACCCGCTCTTCAAATTTTACATCAGCTCCGCTGCGTTCGTTCTGATTTTTATGGGACTCATTTTCTTGGTACCTACGCTTTCTTTTTCCGAGTATGTTCCCTTCGTTCGAATGTCTGGTTCTAGTAACGCAATAGCGATTACAGAAGCGTAGAAGCCGTACGACGATCGATTTGCTTTCAGATGGCACGCGAGCACGGCGGTCAGTTATTCGGTGACCATGTTGTTCCTAATCGCTCTGCTCCCGATAGCTTGGATGCATTTCGCGTGGAACCGATACAAGGACCCGCACGACGAGCACGAGGGACAAGTCCCGCATCCTCGTAACAAGTTGTTGTGCTTTCTGTATCAGAGCAGCCTGAAGGTCAGCGTTACTATATCTTTCGTGTAATTACACACGCAATCGCTTAAGGGATCGCACCGCTTTTTCAAGAATTTTTATTACAGCAACAACAAAGGAAAGACCAAAGTGGCGTAACCCCTTAATATATTTTCAAATCGTATTTTAGGTTGTTTGGAGCACGTATCTCAGGACCATCCTCTACTTTGTAATAACGACGATGTTAGCAGCGTGCGCTATGTTTGATATGATCGTAAGTGAACATCCCTAAAGACGGTCTTGCGAGAATAGAATTTTTCTTATATTAACGTTGGACTTTCCAGTTCGAATGCAAGAACGTGGACGACCTTTCAACCAACAACGTAACGTCCAGTATAGCCGAGCCCGGTGCATCCGATCTCGAATGCATAGCTACACCCTGGGTAAGACTGTTTAGTAGGTACTCGTACGCCGTAGGCCTCCCTTTAGCCGAATCTCGCATACTACAGAAGAACGTTCTCCGATACCGTGCAATGATTGTTTCTTTCGTTTTTTAGCAAATGACGCAAACTTGTTCCTTGGCAATCCTAACGAGCTTTTTGTTTCTGAGAATCCATTACATCTTAAAGCTAGTAATAGGCGTCGCGATAGTGGGATTTTATTCCGGGAATGTTTGGATACACCGTTCGAATTTGTTTCAGGTAACTCTCGACAACCTGTAGTAAACTCGTTGATTTCTTAATTGTACGTTAGTCAGTATCGTTGCCTTCTTTATTTGCTACTTTGTTTTCCACAGTCGGGTGACAGGTGGAATCCGCACTTAGAACCGAGACTGGCGCACATTTTAAGCGTAGTTTTCCTTACATTTTCTTTGCATCTCATTGACCGTCAGGTGAGCTTTCGTTAATTTGGAAATCGCCGCGATTCCGATGTTACGAGATCTGTGCATATGTTAAATTCTGCGATTTATCCAGGCGGAGTACATGAGCAGATTGGACTATCTATGGAAACGTCAGTTAACGAAGGAGCAGGACGAAGCGTACCACACGAGGAACGCCAACAAACTTCTCTTACGCAACATCTTGCCGGAGCACGTTGGTACGTTTATCTTTAGTCGACCCTCGAATGCTATCGCTGCTCATTTTCGACATAATTAAATATCATTTAAGTCTGTTTTCGCAGCGGAGTTCTACTTGAACATGAATAGAACAGAGGAGAACGAGCCCTATCACGAGGCCCACAACAACGTGGCTGTCATGTTTGCCTCGCTGATGGATCTGTGCATCGACGAGAGCGATATTCTGGCAGACCTGAACGAGATCATCTGCGAATTCGATAAACTGTTATTCGAGTCGCACTTTGTTTGTCGAATCGAAAAGATCAAAATTGCTGGTGAGCGACTGAACAAAGAAAACGTTAGACTAGTATCGATGACGGTGCTTTTTAACCCTTTGTGGTCCAGATTTTCTGATTTTAGTGTTGTTGATCGCTTTCATCGATTCTTGTCCTTCCCGAATTCTTTCTGAGAACGAGCCGATGATAGCGTCGCGATTATTTTCAGGCACCACGTATATGGCAGCTTGCGGATTGGAAGCCAGTCGACGCGATTCGATGCACAGCATGGAAAGCGAAGAAGACTTCAACGACAACATAGTGAAAGTGATGGCTCAGTTCGCAGCTGAGATGTTGGAAGTCCTGGACAAGTTGAACGCGAGATCGTTCTATTCGTCGAAACCCTACAGGTACGTATAACTGCGTGCATTATCTTCGGAACCATGAAGTACTCGTAAGAATGAGGTAAATAATATTTTGTAGATTGAGAATTGGAATATCACATGGAGAGGTGACAGCGGGTGTAGTAGGCGCTCAAAAACCATTGTACGATATTTGGGGTGACGCTGTGAACATGGCGTCGAGGATGGACACTACCGGTGTTCCTGGGAAGATACAGGTTCGGCTTACATACATGTTCTTATTCGTTGGGCACGGAATTGGTCGTAAAGCGGTCGACTATGGGATCCGAGGGTTGTGGGTTCGAATCTCCGTGGCTTGTTTTTCGTTTAGACTCCTACAAATGGGATTTATTATTTTCTTTGAATCGTTTTGCTCTAGCCGGATGATATCTTTACAGGTTACAGAGGAAACCGCGGCTGTGCTCGAACAGCAGGGTGTCAGGTGCCACCTGCGAGGATCCACGTACGTGAAACCGAAAGGATTCGTGACGACGTACTTCGTGGGAATCGACGAGAACCGGAAACTTCAGCGAACGGATTCCATCGAAGAGACCTATCTGTGATCAAAACTTTAAAATGATTTTGAACGTGATGAATCTACCTCGGTCATGGTGACCGCATTTCGATCGAATCACCGTGTGAAAAGTGAGACGTTAAGTATCTAGGTGAACGCAGAAAGACAGAAGAATAAAAAATAAAAAAAAAAAACCAAAGAAAATTCGAAAGACCAAAGAACCGAGAAGAAACGCAGTCGTGGACTGTAATTCTGTATGGAATACCTCAAAACAAAAAAGAGAAACTTATTTAAGCCGTAGTCGAGTTTGCGATTGCACCGTCAGCGATCTCGATCGCAGGTCCAGTGATACGCAACGTTGTTGCGAAACGGAGAAAAGAATTTTAAATAGCGTCTTTCTACGAGGAAACCGAGAATGATTTTATATGACCAGTACACGTTTAAGAACGGCTTTATACGTAACACTGTACGCCGATGATATCTTGCACCGGCGTTTGCCAGTTTGTAAAAATGATCGGTTTTTAAGGAGACGATGGTATCTACGTGGAAGGTCAATATTAATCATTATCCGGATATCATTTAATTCGTGTAGTTAGAACGTTTGTATTGTACATAAACGAACAAGTTTTTCAACGGTTACACTTGGAAAACGCTGTCCTAAACGATGCACAACCCAGTTGAAAGTACGATGTAATAATCAGTGATAAAAAGCGCGTAGGATGCGAGGCTCGGGAAAAAAAGATTCGTCGATAGTAAACCTCTCGTACTATTTGAATTTTTCAGTCTTTCCCCAATAAAATATTTGAAAATTGAGATAAAAAAATGCACATGCAAAAATGTGAAAATTTACTTTGCCTGAATTTCGAGTAATCGAATATCTCGAATAGGTCTACCTGCATCGGTCGATTCTTTTCCTCCCTACACTCGCGAGAATCATTTTCTGCAAACGACAATTTGATACTTACAAGACAAGTTCGGAGATTGCTACACTCCAAAGAAATTTGGAATTTTGTAGAAACGAAGTACATTTCTTCTAAAATCTGTTATCACAACGTAGCGAAACCGTTTTTAGTTTCAATAGAAAATAGCGATGCGATTAGGTTCACGCGTACTTTGTTTCTCCAAAGCTATAGGCTTTTTAGATTGTATCATTTGACGAACTTGCCTTGTTAGTGATTCGAGTGATAATCAAAACAGATATAAACCTACTTTATTCGTGTCATACGTGAACGATAATGACGTTTTTTCAACTGTATGTTAAATGTACGATATATCGTGTCTGGTAAACAAAAAAAAAAGTAGCTAGTTTGAGATATTTATTGACGTAGGTTCTTCCAGGGTCACGATAAGTGGCGAACGTTTTCTAATCTATCCACGATGTTTACGTTTGTTATAAAGTCACAAAATCTTGTGACTAATGGTGCTCCTAAAATTCAGAACTCAACCTTGAAACACCTGGATGACTTTAACACTTTATCTACCAAGACACTATTTATGAACCTGTTAACTGTGCCGTTGGTCATCTACTTACCAATGCTCAATTTGAGAAAACGGAAGGTTTTGATATACCTAGCAACAGTAACCTTTTGTACAGTCATTTTGTTATAAAATGTTCAAACAGAATTTCCATCGTATTAAATAATGTAACTTTCGAATATACATTTCATATTTTCAACTTTGGTGGGCTTTGAATGGGGAACCTATTTCTAAATAGGGCGATAGTTGAAGTGTTGAGCTTCCTTTCGTAAACGTCGAAGACAAATTTTCATTCGAATACGTTCATCTAGGATACTACTTCATTTAATGTATACAGGGTGTCCCAAAAATGTTGTAACACTTTGAAAGGGGTGGTTCGGGAGGTGATTTGAAACAACTTTTTCCTTAGCGAAAATGTTGTCCGAGGCTTCGTTGAGGAGATATTAAGAGAAAACTAAGGAAAAAGTTGTTTCAAATCACCTCCCGAACCACCCCTTTCAAGGTGTTACAATATTTTTGGGACACCCTGTACACATTCTTTTCCATGGCGTCGCTATGTTTTTATAGCTCTTAATTACGAAAGTAGAGTGAAATTTCTGAATGTCGCTTCATATTTCAGCGATACGAAAGTTTCTGCTGCTTGAATTGAAACATTCATCACAGTCGTGATTCGTGTATCTTTTAACTTTAACACGTTGCGGTTTAGATCGATTTCAATAAAACTGTAAAGGTTAAAATGAAAAAGACGTCGCACATGTCCACTACATCCTGTAAATTTTAAACGCTGAGAGAGAGAGAGAGAGAGAGAGAGAGAGAGGGTGTGCATGTATGTTTGAGAGAAAGAGAAATTGGTGTTCAATGGATAAGTTAAAATAATTCTCCCCACGTGATAACAATGCACTTTTAGAGATAATTCAGCCCACGCCCAGAGTCATTATGTTCTCCCATTTTACCAATCGTTCTACAAGAATGGCAGGATGATTTTTTTATTAAACAATTTACCAAACTACACGCATCGTTTTTCTTGTGTCTGATGTTCCAATCGATGAATCGTACGTTTGGTAAACTGACCTCCCTACCCCGATCGTAACAAACAATTGCGACTTTATTTTTCTATAAAGTATATTATTGACGTGACCAGCGCTCGTTTATTTTCATGTAAATACTTTTGTACATACATTTTTTAAATATTAGAAATAATGACCAATGTAATTATTCAACAATTTGAATAAAGTATTTATTACCACCTGCAGGAGATTTAAATACGATTTCTAAACATGGAAGAGTGTTGCCAGTGGATATATCCGTCCTCTTTATAAAAACTGTTAAAAAAATAACATTTAGTAGAAAGTTCAAAAGTGGTTCCAGACGAAGCCGGGACAGGTTCGTTAATGAAAAATAAATTTATTAATAATAAACTCGATAGTATCGACAAATGCTTTTAATAAACTTTAATTATATAAGAAGAAATTCAAATTTCCCGCGGAGAATTGGTGTCGCCGCCTAACGGCGAACATAGGAATATTTTCGGAGTATGATCACAGCGCCTCTATCGAGAAAACGCTCAAGTTTGTCGTCGAATAGTTTCTTTTTTCACCGCTAGATGGCGCTTTTTCGTGGTAATCTACCGGTATCCATCGGTAAGTTACCATCATGTCGGTAATTACCATCTACAACGCGCCATCTAGCGGTGACTGCTTGAACTATTCGACGACAAACTTGGGCGTTTTCCCGATAGAGGCGTTGACCATACTTCGAAAATATTCCTATGTTCGGCGTTAGGCGGCAACACCAATTCCTCGCGGGAAATTTGAATTTCTTTTAATTTTATTAAATTAAATTTCATTAGAAGCATTTGCAAGTATTACCGAGTCGTTTAGGAATCTTTTTCGAATAAATTAATACATTAATTAATTTTTTTTCGCTAAACCGAGTTCTTATAAGATCATCTTATAGACTTGTGGAAACGAAAAATCCCTTCAAGGAAGTTTCACTCATTTCACTGTCATAAACGTAGGTTGATGAGGGCACTATCTTGAGATGATGTTTGACCGTAGTTTTGTATTCACGTACCTAATGTATTCTTATCATTGTTATCGGTAGTGTCTTCGATTAACAATGCTTTCGAGGTAAAGTATGCGAACACAACGCAGATGAACGCAGACTCTGATAGTGTGGTGAAATGTCCTGAAATTTCTAACGCACAGCGCGTTTCCATAAACTTTCATTACGTAATGCTAAATAAAAATTGAAAGAGCTAACATTTATCGATATGTAAGTGTAATATTTCGTATACATTATCAAAGAAACTATGAGGTATCCGAATCGTCTTTCACCGGTTAGGTGAAATTCTAATCGGAAACTGGACGGTAAAGAGCTTTCGTTGATTTTAGGATAGGAAAAACGAATCATTAACCATTATACAACGTATTGTTATCATGGTATTCGTTCTCTGCTCGATCAGAATCTCCCGGAACGTGTCATGTTTATCCCCGTGGTTCAAACTTCCCTCGACAGCGGTACGTACAATTTTATAGGTTATTTTGAAGTTTTTACGTTATTATTAAATTGCAATTTATTACAGTACTCCGCAAAGGTTACGTCAAACATAAAGAAATTCTCTTCTTCGCCAAGCCACTGTTGCTTGTCAGCTGCAAAAAATGTACAAACTCAAACAACTTCCTCTGATCGATCATCTTCTGAACGTCGAAAAAATGTCTCTCCCAAAGGCACAATACACAATGTTCGGAAAGATGTACGCTCGAACGACGAGCCAGAATGGAAGGCTTTGGAAGTGGACACTGATAATTTCCAGAAACACTGTCTCATGTTGTCCAAAATAAGATTAACATGTAAGGAAACCTACTTTCTCTTTGCAACTGTAATTTACAGTTTAATATCAATAGATACAACAAAATAACGATTTAACACAGCACTAGTGGTTATAACAACTATGGCTGGATACTCGCTAGCTCCTGGTCCATTCGATACATCCACCTTCTTGGCATGTGCCGCAGGAACTGGAATGCTTTCCGCAACAGCGAATAGTATCAATCAGTTTTTTGAAGTTCCTTTTGACGCGCAAATGTCAAGAACGAAAAATAGAGTCTTAGTCAGAGGCCACTTGACGTAAGTACGATATTCTTTTTATGCTTAAAAATTGCGACGATCGAGTTGCATAAAAATTATATTTTTTTTTTGCTTTTGGTTAGGCCAGCGCATGCAATTATTTTTGCAGCAATGTCTGGTATCAGCGGAGTATCGTTACTCGTTAGCGAAGTTAACGGCCTGACAGCAATTCTGGGCGTGTCTAACTTAATTCTTTACACCCTTATTTATACTCCTATGAAACGAATGAGTATTCTAAACACATGGGTGGGTTCTATTGGTAAATATATCGTCGTTACCTCTACCGATAAATTCGAATATTTTTGATAAAAATAACTCGAGTTTGTAATCGTTTCTCTTTAGTCGGTGCCATACCACCGTTAATGGGTTGGGCAGCTTGCGTCGGCGACATAATGTCTCCTGGTGCTTGGATCATGTCTGGTCTGTTATATGCATGGCAGTTTCCACACTTTAATGCTTTATCATGGAATTTAAGACCAGATTATTCGCGTGCTGGTTATAGAATGATGGCAGTCACGGATCCGAATCTTTGTCGCAAAACGGCATTACGTTACACTGTTTTGTTAACGGGTCTCTGCTATTTGGCACCCGTCCTAAACGTAACAAATTGGTGGTTTGCTCTAGCGTCGACACCGCTCAACACGTATTTTCTTTACCTTGGTACGTAAAAAAAAAGAAAGAACCGTCGATAAGATTAGAAAATCGATGTCGTCTAACGTCTGTTTTTTTTTCCAGCTTGGAAGTTTTATCAGCACTCGGATAGCGGAAGTTCACGGAAACTCTTTCGCTTTTCGCTCATACATCTACCCGTACTCATGATACTTATGCTCGTCAATAAAAAATACTGGTTTAACGAGAAGAAGCAGAAAGACACGGTAACCTATGAAGAAAAACAGGATAGCATATATTCTGTTCTGACGAGATTCATCACATTGACTCCTTCGACTGTTTAAACAAAGTGCTCCGTTCGAACTCACAGTTAAATGTAATAGTACAAATTGTTACGATATTGTACCGTTTGACACGGTACGCTAATACGAGTCAGTAAGACATTTACCGACAAAGTATTTTATAAAATCGTGTACATGTAAATAATAATAGCTATTTATCACGATTGCTTAGGATATCTAACTCGTGTTTTGCATCATTATTATATCACGTAATATGCTCGATCAGGTTAGAGTTCCCCGATGGAGATGTGTTGAATAGAAAAGCAATGATTTGCGTATACGTACATATCCACATGTTTATTAAAATTATTTACAAAGTCATATCGTATCGTCGATAGCTTTTCGTTTCGCAGCGAATTCGATCGCCATTTGTCGTCTTGTTTTAGTTAAATTTCTATGTCCGATGCAATCTAGATTTTCCACGAAACACTTGTTTCGACAGCACTGTCGGCACAGTTTGTGAACACATTTGAGACCCTAGAAGGATAGCATACGAATACAAAAACTATATTTGTATTTAACCGCAAACGCTGAACATTGAATTTTTCGAAGTAATTTCTACAAACCACTGGATTGGGACAGTTGTAGCACAAGTCGGATCCTCTTTTAACGATAACGGCTGGCCTATTGGGACGACGCGCGATTCGTCTAAGCTTCTTCAAACGTTTCCGCGATACCTCGTTTCCATCCTCGTCCGTGAATTTTTTCTTCACATTCACGTTTCCCTGCGCGATCGTGCGAATATTAGAGACGAATGGCGACGTGGCGAATACATAAAAACGTAACTAACCGTTTCGATCTTTTCCGTTTCTATTCGTTGCTCGTGCTCTTCGGGAGGACTCCGTACGTACGGTTGACACAACCACGGTGGTAATTTCAAGTTATAGTCTGAAACGAATATAAAGACACGAATATAATATTCGAACAACGACGATCACGAAGGGGAAGAGAAAGAAGAACAGTATGCGATACTGTTTCGTAACTCGATAAGTATATAAGGAACACGAGTCGTATACAGACCGGTGGTTTCTTCTCGCCACGTCTGGCGTCCTTCGTGATACGGTAGATATCGATCTCTCAAAGAGTACACGACGCTTCTGAACGATTCCATGGTAGAGTTTCTGGCCAGATTTTCCCTCTCTTCTTTATTCTCTGCTAAACAAAGTCTACTCTCCAGTTAAAAGAACGTTGAACGTGTAATTAAATGTACAATTTGCGATAGCGTTCACGAGCAACGATTAGCGAAAAAGAGACGCGGAATAGATACCGAGCAATGGGTACATCGAGTCAACGATACGTACATGTGTTGAAACAGTTTGAAGAGATGGCCACGAATGTAAGAGGCCGGAGCTGGATACCGTTCCACCAAATCTAAATATTCGAGCGCTGGCTCCCAGCTTGGCGGATGACGTCCCTCGAATATGTAAGGATTGTAAAGATTACCTTCGGCCGACATTACACCGCACGCACCGGTTTCCTCTATGCATCTCTCGACGTCTCGCAGACATTGTATATTACCGTTGGCGAATACTGGAATCGCGACGGCTTGCCTAGCGTGTTCGTAAGAAGAAATCGTAAACGAGAGAAAAATTTCACATTCAAATTTCCTATAAATGCATAAAAATCCGTAGTCTAGTTTTGAGCTACGAGCTCTACGTAAAGTAGCCATTTAGTAAGTAATTTATACCTAACTGCTTCGATGTGCTCCCAAGACGCCACGCCGGTTAACCGACCCTTCTGTTCCCGGGTTCGTCCATGCACAGTAAGCAGTCGTGCCCCAGCGCTCTCGAGCATCCGAGCATACTGCACGGTCTTTTCGATTTCCGCGAATACTCGTAATTTGCAAGTGACAGGTACACGGAGTTTCTTGCTCAAGGTGCTAACTGTAACGTTTCATTGTAAAGGACAACGATGTTACGGAACTTTCACCGATGACGGATCGTACGAACCGATTCGTCGAAGCAAGTCCCAGTCGTCTTGAAGAAAAGCACCGTAGCGTCCGCGTTTGGCGATAGCTTGAGGGCAACCTATATTTATGTCTATCGCGTCGCAGTACGGCTCGGCCAAAAGTGACGCTTCCAGTAAAGTGTTCGGATCGTTGCCGCAAAACTATAACAGACAGACCCGCGTCAATACGGGATGAAGAGAGCGAGGAATGGCAAACAGATTCATACCTGAATGATCAGCGGTCTGTCTTCGGCGGTGCTAGCGCACGCTTCTCGCCGATACTTGGGATCTCTGCAGAAAACCGACGAGTGAAGCATCGGCGTATAACAAAGTTGCGCTCCGTGGCGTCGACTCAGCAGCCTCCAGGCTAACTCGCTCGCGTCGACCATCGGCGCGACTATGTATCGCGGAGAACCCAACACGTTTTCCCAGATATTATCGTTCGCCTCTCGAGAACCAGGACCGACGACCTGGTCGGTCGCGAACGATTCCTCTGTAACCGATGTCATCTGCGAAAGAAATTGGAGACCGTGAGTGGCACGAGAACTCGCAAGCTAATACTCGCGTACACAATTCGCATAAAATACACTTCACGAACTAGCGAAATCGATACCCGGTGTTTCGAAACATGGCATGCACAGTGTCCCACGTAACTTTTGCGATTTTTCTTTTCGAAAGTATATCCTGTGTCCCAGTCTCTAAAGTCAGTCGCGTGCCGAGTCTCGAAATCACGGAAATCAATTTCGCTGTGTTCTCTTACCTGACTGGACTACATCTCGTTTACAATATTCGCAGCGAAATACGTGCAAAGAAAACGCTCGGTACGCGAGCACTCTTCCTCGTCGAACAGTTCGCTTCAGAAACGCACCGAGCGGTCGGCAAAGTTTCGTATCCGCGAATTTCGAAAGTTCAAGCTTTTCGATGGGCGAGAGGCTCGAGGGACGAGATGCGAAAAAATAGTAGCGGTATCGCCGCGATGGAAATCACATTCCCGACGATGCCGGAACGAATCGAGGAGACGAGGAACGCGCGATACGGGTCGACCGAGGGGAACCGGGAGAGCGTAGCGAGAGGAGAGAGCACGACGACCGCGGCGACGCGGGTTTCGACAGATCCGACTCCAAAATGGGAGAGAGTTGTATGGACTGGGTAACGCGCGAATTTGCCTTCAGTCTTGGCCTCTTTCGGAAGGAGGAGGTCCGCCGTGGACGGGTGTAGATATGAGCCGCTGGTCTCCTCGTCGTCGAAGGACCCACCGCTCTTCGCGTCTGAATCGCCAGCTGCTCGCAAGAATGGCCGGTTATCGAACGCAGCGGAGGAAGTTTGCTGGGTGGACGCGGAACGGACGCCTCGTATTCTTTTCCGAGAGCGAGAACAGCGTCAGGCACGGTGTCCTCCAGCTTGACCTCGGGCAAAGTCGAATCACCGCTGGGAACCACTTTGTTCTTCGACGAGCGAACGCCGTTCGCATTCGACGACCGTCGACGACCGCTCCTACGCAGATACGTACGCAGAAACTTCCCTATCCTTTCCACGGTTTCGCAAGAATTGCTCGGAACGTGCGACGAGCCGAGCGAGTCCTTGCTAGCGCTCGCTCGTTTCTTTGACTTGTCCGTTTTGCTCGCCGAACGGCATCGCACGGCTATCGAATTGGCAGCGGCGAAACAACAAGAAACCGGGGAGGGCGTCGAGGAGCCGACGACGCCCACTGAGTCCCGGAACACGATCGTCGATTGGTCGGGACGCGTGTCGCTCGGTATCCGCGACGAGAACTCTATGGAAGTTTCGTTTGCGGTCGACTGGAGCTCGTACGAGAAGCAGAGGCGAAAATTGCTCCGTTGGTCGTCTCGCCGACAGAATCGGGTCTCCGTTCCTACTCCGTTCGACTCCCCTTCGAGGTCTATCCGACTCGAACACGACTCGGTATTGATTCGAAAGGACGACGTTCTGCGGCTGGACATGAATCCACGGAATCCGTTGAGTCCGGCTGTTGACTCTGAAACGTTACCAACGGTTTAGTCAGACAACATTTTGGAAAATTGAAAAAATTGGAAAAATGGTAGGGACGATAAGTCGTACAGTAAGACCCCGCTTAACGCTGTTTCAGTATTACGCGGTCGAAATTTATTATTTACGTGTTAATAGACAACGAAGTTAATTATTTACTATTTTTAACATTTTATTTATGTATGTATTGTATACTTACAAATGCACTGATACTTTCCCCCGTAAATTTGTTATCATTGCACACATGTTTTGGTGTATTTAACAGCATTTGTAACTTTATAACTATATAATATAATTTAGTTGTTTTCGAACAAATACCGTAGCATTATTAGCATGTATTAGAATAGGTTATGACTGAGTCGACACATGCCTGCCATCGAGATGGAATTTTTGCTATACTTTTCGAAATCGATTCATGCGCATTAGCGTCGCCTCACTTTTGGTATGGACATGTTCAGTGATGCCAACTGGGACGCGTTGTTTCGCGCATGCGCGGCCAGAATGATCGTTGGCAGTAACGTATCCCAAAAATGTTGTAACACCTTGAAAGATGTGTTGAAAGTGGTCCCGGGGGTGATTTGAAACAACTTTTTCCTTAGCGAAAATGTTGTCCGAGACTTCGTTGAAAAGATATTAACAGAAAACCCCGACCAATCAGAGCGCGAGTAACACGCGGCCGCTTAGCGCATAGCCTTCGCTACCGCGGGGGCTTCATCGGCATACTCGCGCTCTGATTGGTCGAGGTTTTTTGTTAATATCTCCTTATCGAAGCCTCGGACAACATTTTCGCTAAGGAAAAAGTTGTTTCAAATCACCCCCCGGACCACCCTGTCCAAGGACTTCCAACAATTTTGCGACATCCTTTATATACTTCAGAAATACTTCAGAATAAAGGTCTATTTACACATATCCGTAACGTGTTAGTTTCGTATCCATACCATATTAGCAACGTCACAGAGTGGTGTTGGACGTGTGTGAACATGCCCACTCAAAAACAACAGAAGAATATTTAAAATCACTGACATTGATGGAACATTACGGAACTGAACGAATACGGAACTGACACATTACGGATATGTGTAAATAGACCTTTAGTCGCTTACCTGTGACCGTCGCTGGGTTCCCGGTAGCGTCCACGGAGTTGGCAGCATTGGCAGCAGCGGCGGTCGCAGCTGCGGCGGCAGCGGTAGCGGTTGCGGCAGCGGCGGCGGCTGCTGCGACGGCTGCGGTAACGGTGTTTCTTTCTCGCTTGTTCCTTACGTACTCGTACGTGGTCAAACCGAGACAGGCGATGTATCCGTGAAAGAAGCACAAATGAATCAGGAGGATCGCCGCGATCGCCGAGAGGATTCCTATCGCGGAGATCAGGATAATAGAGCCGGTGTCCGAGACGGGGATGATTGACAGGCCAGGACCCGTGGCGTTCTCCATGCTGGCGTTTACCGTCCTACCGGAGACCAACGACAGCAACAATTCCGTCGCGGAGAGACCGGCGACGGACAGGCTCGCCAGGATCGCGGAAATTAGGCAAACTAAAAAGGCTAAATAGTTTCTACCGCCGATGCAGTTGTTGAGCCACTTGCAATGATGATCGAATCGCGCCACGCATTTGTTGCAGATCGAACAGTGCTTGGTCCTCTTGCTCTCTGTGGTTATATTGCAGAGGTGGCATCGGCCGTTCTCGATGACACGCGCGTGCTTCGACCTGTCGAATTCCGGCAGGACTTTGTTCGCCGGCTGAGACCTGACTTGGGGATCCGCCGGATCCAGCAGGAGCACGATCAGGTGGGAGCAAAGATGCGTAGCGAAGATCGCTGCTATGGAGATCGAGAGGACTGGACGCAGACTCGGCTCGAGGAGCGGCGTTAAGACGGCAAACGTGTTTATCGCTATAACCAAAATAACGATCCAACCGATCACTTGTTGGGGATGAAGCGGTAGCTGAAGTCCGTGCACGCGTCTAAACTTTCTGCGTTCCGGTGTCACGAACGCGTTCTGACCCGAGCACCATCTCGATACGATGTCGCTGGTGGCTTCGTTTCGCATAACGAGCCGTCCTTTCGCCTCCCATTCGCTGCCAATTCCCCGTGATCGCTTCTCCTCGGCAACCTGTCACCTCCTTCCGGTTGACGTCTTTCTTCCAGTTCTTAAAACTTTCGTTCTCTTCGCGCCTCCCATCCCTGCCTTGTCTCCTTTATCCCCGATCCACCGTGGTTCCTCTTCGGCTATCCCGTTTTCACCACTTTTCCACGATCAAAACGTCCATCGATTCGTCCATAGACACTTCTACGGGACCACTTGTCGGCACACTCGTCGCGGCGTTGCGAATCGCGATTGTCCTCGAGCATCCTCGGGAGAACTCGGTTTAGTGTCCCATACGACGAAATACGCGCCTCGCGACTTACGAACCAGTTCGTCGAATCGATACTCGCATGGCAACGTAGTCGCGTAAACGATCCCGAAAATACGCGTTGGATTTTCTATGAATGCGATATCGCGATAGCAATAATAAAAGCAGTAACAATTGCTTTCCTTTCGCACCGATCGCTCTTCTCTCGCCTCCAGCGCACCTCGTCCTTTTTCTTCCACGACCCCTACTCTCGTCATATTTTCTGGCAAAATCAAAATCTGGCGAAATCCGTACGTCCGATTAGGGATGCCCCGATTTTTGTAACGAAATAAAGAAGACAAGAAAATATAATCTCCAATATGTCTTCGATATGAAAATATATTTGAAGTACTAAAACGAAGAAAATTAATAAGAAATTAAACAGTAAATTAATCGACATCAAGTTGTTTACGTAAATTATTTTTTCCGTCGAGTAACGTTCCAGTTCCAGAAGTTACTGCATTATACGCGAAGGTTGAATTCGGAGTATAGATTTTGTAAAACTCGTGATCATTAATAATTGCGTGTCGCGAAAGGCGTCGCGAGTGAACAAAGTTTGAGAACTGTTGCTTCATCCAATGCTAGCAACTTTATATTGTAAATTTTACAGGTGGTCGGATAATACTCGATCGTGATTGTAGATCATATCGTTTCTTTCCGAGGATAAGTGAAAAGATCCGCGAAATTTAAATACGTTAAGGTCTATTTACACATATCGTCCGACACCGCTCCGTGACGTTATTGATACGGTACGGATACGGAACTGACACGTTACGGATATGTGTAAACAGACCTTTATTCTGAAGTATTTCTGAAGTATATACAGGGTGTCCCAAAATTGTTGGAAGTTCTTGAAGAGGGTGGTCCGGGGGGTGATTTGAAACAACTTTTTTCTTAGCGAAAATTTTATCCAAGGCTTCGTTAAGGCGATATTAACAGAAAACCTCGACCAATCAGAGCGCGAGTATGCCAATGGAGCGCCCGCTGATTGGTCAGTGTTTTCCGTTAATATCTCCTCAACGAAGCCTCGGACAACATTTTGGCTAAGGAAAAAGTTGTTTCAAATCACCTCCCGAACCAGCTATTTCAAAGACCTCCAACATTTCTGGGACACCCTGCATAAACTCTATTGTCCTTCACCTATTTTGCAATTTACAACAATTTACAACACGACGAACTCTGTATCTGCGTACGACACGACTTCGTTTCAAATGCAATTACAGTTCAAATATTAACAACGTCTTCGTTAGGAAGACTGACATTACTATTATTACATTTTACTTGTAACCTGTTGAACGCCGAGTAAAGATCTTTTACCCAAACATGTGGTGAAAATAATTTGTATTTTGGTATGAGAACAGTTGCTCGATTTGTTTCGAAAATTAATTTGCTCGCGAACCAGTCGTCGATATTTAATTGAAAGTTGTGTATCGCATCGTGTTACATATTGCGATCGTTTCGATCTAAAAACTCACTATTTTACAGAGAAAAATGTGTTTACTAACCTTACACTTGCATCCAATTTGTAGGTTAATTTGGAGGTTTTATTTAATTTTAGCGAGCTCCGGCACGATTAACATAATATGCTTCTTTTTATTAGATGACTAGAAACGCATTTAACGTTTAACGATTGCTATAGTTAACTAGGACCTTTTGTAACTTATGTAAATCGCGAATCGTTTCGTGTCACTGTTAAATATGGTCGAAAACATTCGTGTTCCTTGAGAAAGTATCGAAAATGTAAAATCGATACATCGACGTGCTCGAAGGAAAAACTATATATATATATAGAAATAGTTATTTCGTTAGCTGTCATATTTCACCAATGCTCATCCTTGCGATTTAGCTGTTGTTGCTGCTTAATTCAGTCGCTCGATCGTTTTAATGAAAATTCTGACGTCGCTATGTAACTCGTAAAAATGACTGGGTTAATCGTCTTTTGTACGATCTGTTTTGTTCTCTACTGCATTTTCACCTGGTAAGGTTAACAGTTGGATGAAATCAGTTTCTATAATTGAAAATGCAGTATCTTACAAAATTTGTTTCTCAGGGTGATACCAAGACTCGTGGCATGGCTGGTAAAGAGACGATACAAAATTTATCTACGAGTTGGGCACATTTCGCTACCGTATTTTATACTTCGGGACGTAAACGTTTCGAAAAATGGTTTCACGTTGGTAAGTTGTAACTAGATATCGTTCTTTAAGAATTTTTTACAATTATCGAAATACTTCTAATCGAACAAACTGATTTCAGCAAGTCGAGGAAGTTAGTATACGTAGCAGTTTGTTTAGCAGCGACGTAGCAAAACTCTTGGCGGTGATCATGAAAGATGTTAGAGTTAACAAGGATGTTCCGATTAAAGTCCCGTGCATTGTAAAGAAACCCAAAGAACCGATGGATTTTAGGAATAAGAAAATTCCATCCATAATCATAACATTTGTGCAGGTATATAATCCGCTATGAAAAATGTGTTTGTTTTTAATCTTTTAATTTATATTAATTAAGACCATTCTAAAATTTTTTAGTTTATGGCTGTGCACGTAGAGAATTTAAATCTTCTGGTCTTGGGTAACGGTTGGCTCGCTAATGGAAGCGCAGAGAGTCTCACTTTGGATGGCAGCGTTGTTCACGGAGCCCGTACTCTTCTCGCGTCCGCATCTGTTATTGGTGGCGCCATGAAGTTGTTACGCCACGCGTCGGATGCCTGTCTTTTGCAAATATCCTTCGCTAGTACAGCCGAAGCTACTTTGAAAGCACAAGGAGAACTGTCTGTGGAGGTAAGAACATACTTACTTATGGTGTACGCATGTTCTGTATCAGCTTAATCGTTTTTATGCGCAAATTGCAAAAGGCATAGAGTTTTACGACATTTATACGGCGATCTAAGAATTTAGCTCAATGCTTTGAACGGTAGCTATTTGTGTTTAGCGCACTTAACGGATGATCCTGAACAACTGTCCCTTGAAATGGAAATAAATTGGAATCAAGCAGGATCTAATTTATAGAAATTGTACATCGGAATAACGCAGACAGAGGGTTCTGGAGGAGCAGGTCTAATTAGCTTCTTCAAAGACAGAAGTTCGTTAAGCGCTACATCTTCGTATTCCGATGCGGATGTCAATACTTCCAACGATTTATTGGCTCGCTTAGCACCAGTTATACCAAAGGTAAAATTTTCTGGCGCTCAATTAAAGAAAATATAGATTTTATTAATGTAATTAAACACAAGCTGTAAATGTTTAGGATTTCATGCTGAAAGTAGGTAATACATCGATAATCACGGGTAGAGAAGATGGGATGGTACTTGGTTTGGAAGGTACGATGAAGGGCCTTCAAATTAACACGAAATTCCAACCGTGTGGCTTGCAGTTAAATCTTACTTTAAATTTGGATGGGCTGTCTGTTCGTAGCAAACTTCCTATTTTGACGTTACGATCGTTATTAATAAATTCAAAGGTAACAAACTGCATTACTGCGATACGCGTTCCATTGTTAATCGGATTGATTTTCATAATTTTGCCTACAGGTGGAACAAAACGTTTTACAAATTGCTACGCAAATCAATACACTTTCGATCATTTACGATCATAAAGATTGGGAGACAATATTATGCAGCACCGATCACGAAATTTCAGAGCCTGTCGGTAGCATAACATTAAAGAATAAATTACCTTGGTTAGACGTAAGAGTGAACACCGAATTTTACGATTCGTCCCTAAGCGTCAAGTTGTTGGATGTCGATGAAGTTTCATGCGGGGTAGCTCGTATGAAATTTTCTCTAAACACACCTACAGGTACAGGTCTGATGTATCTGTATGTCAAGTTTCTCAATTTAAATGAAAATAATAATATCAGTCGTTTAATTCGATAGACACGATCGATGGTTGGAATACGGAATTGGTTGTGGAATCCTTATATTGTACTTTAAACGGTTCCAGTACCGTTACCGAGGAAACGTCTCATCGATGGGGAACACCTCTGTCTATCGGGGTATTATTAGCTACAACGCGTACCAATGCCATAGGGATCGCGGTGGATGCTCTCGTAACCGAATGGAGTTTGGAACTTGCCAGATTTCTCGAAGAAGCGTATAAGTAAGTCACGCGATCAGGGGAAATAAATATTCCAATCGTAGCTCGATACTTCCAATAACTATGTTTAACTATTCCGCAGATGCACTCAAAGGTACAGAAGAACCGAAACAACAAAAAAGACTAGCGATCCGGATAATATCATTCAATTGAATCTCAAAATTACGAATTGTAATTTATTCTTTATCGCAGAAAATAATCGTACGTATACGCGCATCTGTCACTGTATAAGTTCATCGGTAGCGACGGATCTCCACGTGATGTTTCTGTTCATTTACAGTATCCGTTATGACACGTTTGGACACTGCAAATTTAGAGCACAACGCGAAACGGCTAGTGGCCGTGGCGGAAGGCGTGAGCGCGATAACTTTGAATAAAAACGAGCCGATCACCTGTCAACATGCACAAGCATTGGTTCACCCCTTCTTAGCTATAAAAAAATGCAAAGGTGCTGTCAGTTCTGAAACTATAAACATCAGTCTGGATGGAACTAATTTGGCTTGGAGTCCTAATTTACATCTCCGACTTTTGCAACTCTGGCTGGAGTCTGTAGACTTCAGATCCATTATAAGTCGAGACACGTCTTCGATCGACGTTCAAAGTACGTCTGCGTCTACAGTCCTCGAATGAGACTAATCGAACTAATCCAAATTTCGTTTACAGACGGAAGAGTCGAAAAGCCGAAACGGGTGTTGGACATACTGGCTACCGGCGGTATCAGCCTGTCTATAGATATATCTCCTAAACACTTCCTAGAACTTTCGTCGGATCAATTGCGTTGGTCGCAAGGAGAATGGAGGTTGAATTATGTTCGCGCTACGTTAGACATGGCCGACATAATTATGATAGAAGGTTTCGAGCTTGTTAAAGTATCGGATAACGCGGAAGTACGGATAGAAAGACAGAGTAGCGAGGGTTTCGTTCTGGATTGGAACGACACTTGGGCGCTCAATATCGAATCGGTAAAGGCTTGCTTTCCATACGAGCATCAGTTCACCGACGCGATTCAGAATGAATTGTTCAGTATAAGGAAATGGTTGAAGGAGATTCATTCTTCTTCGAGCACCAGGAATCTACGTTTACCGCGCGATTTGATCGTAAAGGTAAGTTCTGTTAGCCGAGCGCTGAGCGAAACGGTGAGGTCCGTGTAATGAATAAATACGTAATTCCAGATAAAAGAGTGGGTGTTCGAAGTGAGCGACGACCCGTTCGAAGTACGATTGCGGGATAATTACGAGCTTTTGGAGGACGAGTATAAAGAGAGCTTGAAGCGCCAGGCGATGCTCGATGCTAAAGTACAAGTGCTCTGCCGTACTCATTTATTATTGCCCCAGGATAAAGTCGAGGAACTTTACGCCAGTTTGAATAAAAAGAACGCCGAGATCTACGTTCAAAGATGGAAGCAAATGCAACGCGCCGGGCCAGCGAGAACGCGACTGTTCGCGTGGTCCATGTTAGACCTCGAGATACTGATCTTGGCTGATCCGTCGATTAACGGTACGGAGAACGCGACGAAAGCCATCAGGGAAATGGACGCGGAGACGCCCTGGCCCGAGGACGGCCTCGAGTTCAGCGCGCTCTGGGTCAGAGGAATAAGCTTGAAGTGCGCCGAATGGAAACTTCAGCTACGAGATTTCCCTCAGCCGTTGCTGTTGGTCGAGAGTTTGAGCGTGTGGGGTAGGCTAGCTGGCGCGGAGGCCCTGGCACCTCCGAGAGCCAGGCGCACTGTGAGAATCGAGATCGGTGCGCCTTGGGAGGACATCGTCGTAGAAAGAGGAATGACGTCCTTAAAGTACTATCACGATCTCAATTGGGACATCGATAAATTTCGTTACGCGTTCGGTCCGTGCTGGGAGCCCGTGATAGCCCAGTGCAATCTCAGCTTCGAAAAGATACTTCATCCGTCGCGGGACCCGAGCCCTCCATTGCCATTCTGGGACAAAATGCGTTTATCTTTTCACGGTAGAATAACGCTCTGCGTGAAACAGTTGACGGTGTTGTTGCACGGTTCACTGGATCCGTACAATACCACGGAAGAGATGGAACTGACGTGGACGGGACTAGAGCTCGATTGGACGCAGGGAAAGATCATCGTGAAAGGAGACTTGGACGTTTACGTTCGCACGGCGAGCAAATACGACGATTGTAGGTTGCTCCATTTACCGAACGTTCGGCTGAGTATGAAGCTGGCTTGGGTTTGCTTGGGCGACCCCAGGGACCATCATACCGCGATACCTTGCGCTGCCGATCGACTGCCGGAGTACTCGAGCAATCAAGAGCACGATTCGTTCAGAGCGTTCCGTTCGCAGAACTTGAACGTCAGCCTTTCGCTCGAGACGAAGCCGATCTCCGGGTCTCCGGCGCTTACCAGCGCGCCAACAGCGTTACTTTATGGGAGCACTTTGAGATGGTTCGAGAACCTAAAGTTCATCTTGTCAGGCGCGACGAGGCCGACGAGGAAAGGGCCGCTCTTCAAGAACATCAGACCCCGAAAGAAACAACTCAGTCGACATTACAGAAAAGTCAGGCTGACTTTGGCTTTCCATCGATTTCACGTTAGCTATTGGATGTCGTTCGCGATGCAACGCGGATTCGAGGTAACTGGCGGGAGGGTGGCGTGTAGCTCCGAACACAATTTGTCGTTGCATCCGATCGACGACGGTTTGATACACCGGCCGCGAGCCGAGTGGTCGGTGGTTTACATGAACTGCGAGCTCAGCGACGCGGAGATTTGGCTGAAGAGCGCTCTCCAAGAGGACAAGGAGAGCGCGTCGCTGCGACAACCGGTCGAGAAGTGTTATTGCTTGAGCGTGGCGCGCGTCAGTTATGGCAGAGAGGCGATGGTGACAGGAGTGAGCGGAGGAGACACTCCCACGCACAGGCTCGTCGTTCACGATTTGAAAGGAGCTTGGACGAAGACGAACAGAGACGTCGCTTTCGCACTCTTCGATTCCTTCATAAAGACTCAACAGCTGAAAAAGAATCTTTCGACCGCTGCGCTGAAGGGCTTTCACAGAGAAAATTCGTCGACTTCGCACAAGAATCGCACGAGATCCGTCGAGCCGAAAATCGTACCGACGCAGATCACCTCGTCTTCCGCGACGAAACCGCAACAGGGAGAGGCGGTCGGGATGCTCCAGAGATTGATCGCCGAAGCTGCGAACAAACCAGTCGCGTTCAGCGACGATCTCTCGGTACAAACCAGAGGTCAACAACTACGAGGACTGGCGGCTTGTCACCAGGACGACGTTTTGCACAAAAATTGGCTGAGTACGATTAAGCTTACGGTTAAGCTTCTAACTTTTTATGTAACGTTCCAAGAAAAACGAACGAAAATAATTGTAATCGTGTATCGTCTCTTTCAGTTGCCTTGGTAAACAGTCAGGTATTATTGAAAGGTATCGAGACACGGGGTTACGTGATACTGTCCGCAGCCAAAGCTGAAATATTGCAGAGAATTCACCAACCGGTATGGAAGGAGAGAACTTTAGTATCGAAGACAACGTGGGTCGGCTCGTTGGAATGCATGCAGTATTATGCGACGGTCAGCGCCAACATCGACGAGAATATCGACGATAATATAATGTGGCTGACGTTGGACAATATACAGGTAATAAATAAACGGAAATTGATAGGTACGAGCTCTATCGACGGTAAAATTAATCGTTCGATTTCGCTAAGGAAAAAGATTCGACAGTGATAGCTGGTCTACCGGACGTACCTGCATTGGTAGGTTCTGGACAAAGTGTCGGAGGTGTCGTGAGTCAAACCGTTGGCGGCGGTGGCGGGCCCCAACACCAACTTCAACGTATCGTTTCGAGGTGCAAATGCGAATTCTTTTACGTTGGTTACGGCCAGGCATTGGACGTCGGGTGTATCGATCAAGTCCCTCCGCCACCGAGGGAAGAAGTCAGCCTGTGGGAGAGAAAAGAACTTTCAGCTGCCGACGCATTCACGTTGATGCATCACGACTTGGATGTTTGCACGAATTCTTTGCAGTATGCTATGATTTTGGATATCGTGAATAATTTGTTGCTTTACGTCGAACCGAGAAGAAAAGAGGCGTCGGAACGGTTACAGAGAATGAGATTTCAGTTACAACTACATTCCGTGCAGGATCAAAAGCGACCGATTCAACAGCTGCAGAACACTGTGCGGGGATTGGTAGCGAAATTGAGAAGATTGGAACGCGAAACGTATTTGGTGCAGAAAGCTCTCGCAGAGGAGTCCAGTCCTGAATTGCTGGCAGAAATGGAACGGTTGGAGGCGAGAGTTTTCGAATGTAAGGAAAAATTATCCGCGAAGGCCGAAGAACTCGACGTGATGTTGAGTTGCTACAAAGAAACCACCGCCCCCGCCACAGCTTCGACTACGTTGAAAGATAAACCAGCAGCGGTTGCGAGAGTGGCTGAAATTTGTTTCAAGCACGCCCAGTGGAGGTTGACTGATGCGGATGGACAGTTGGGTATCGCGGATCTTATTTTAACCAATTTCCTGTACACCAAAACCAGTAAAACCGATGATTCCGTCGAGCATCTCCTAGAGCTGGGATACGTTAAGATGACCAATTTATTACCAAATCAAATTTACACGGAAGTTTTGACGCCCACAGAATTACAAAGTAACATGCCCGTTGAAAGGCAAAGAGCCCTTCGAGTATTTTGTAGGGAAAAGGCACCGGTTGCTGGAATATCCGTTAAAGAACATTTCGAGATCAATGTGGTCCCTTTAACGCTAGGTAAATTTAGATTCTGTTTCGATCGCTTGCAAACATTGAACGGTTTATAATTCGTCGAGTGATTTTATCGTGATTTTAAATTTAATTTAGGTTTAACGAAGAAGTTTTTCAATACGATGCTCAAATTTTGTTTTCCCGAGAGAGATCCGGATGGAATAGAAGAGCCTCCTGCGCCTCAACGAGATTCCTCATTTTACGTACCGATCGAAAGAAGAGATGACGTAGAAAAGATGAAAGAAAGAGCGGATAAAAATAAACTTTTCATATACATAAAAATACCAGAAGTACCTGTTCGTGTTTCTTACAAGGTAATCTATCTCTAGATGAAAAGAAAGGTATTGAAATTATTGTTCTCCTTATTGCAAACCTTCCTAATTATTCGCGTTGTTACAGGGAAATAAAGAGAAAAATCTGGAAGATGTTCGCGACTTTGCTCTAGTAATACCAACGTTAGAATATCATAATGTTACGTGGACATGGCTAGATCTCCTTCTGGCTATGAAAAGCGATTCTAGGCGTGTAATATTAAGTCAAGCTATTAAACAGAAATTACAGATCAAGCCAAGAGGTCCACAGGAAGAGTCTGCTCCGCAAGAAGAAGATAAAGCTCGACTTTTGTTGGGTGCTAGGCATCTACCTGGTGACGCCAGAAAGAAAGGTGTATTTAAATTTAAATAGTCGATTATTCCTGCTCTTGGATATTGGTATTCATTGTAATAAAATATTTAATAAAAGAAGGGAATCGGATGCATTGAACGTGTAGTACCTAGACTAGACCGTATGTACATCTTTGGTATTAAGTGTTTTTATTAAAACAAAACAATATTCGTAAACTTTTCTATTTATACTTATTGTACAATAAAACTCAAAGTTGTATAATAGTACACATCGTGCGCTTCATTACACAATGCCTTAGTAAACTTGAACTCATTGTTGTAAAAAATGAAAAATACATTCCAATAACGTTTCATAAGTACAAGTTATATTTTCCATTGAAATATTTACAATTTACATGCGTCACACTGTTATAAAGTAATCAAGGGAGCCTCTGCATTTTTTCTAGCGTGTCTCCATTCGTTTAAGTCAGCCAAAATTTTCCTACCATACTTAGTATGCAATTCACGAAACGTTATCTTTGTTCTCGGAACGTTTTCTGTTCTACCAGGAGCAGATCTGACGCTTTGCGAACGATGATGAGACTCCGGGCGATTGAAAGGATTATGTCGCTGCCGCGGTGGAGCTTTGGGCGATTGTGGAGGAGGAACAACCACCGCGGGTTCTTCTTCCGTGGCATCCAACTGCCTTTGCAACTCAGCCACCATAAGTTTCATGTAATCGTAACTTGCGCATGCCAAAGCTTTCATCCACTGTTCCATGGATTCCTAAAAATTATTGCAAGAGTATATGTACAGCCTGTGAACCAAACATTGCATTCGACAGTATGAAATTTAACAAACTATTTTTACTTGAGATTCCGCTGCGAGAGCATAGTTTCTATTGTTTGGTCCGTGGAATACTATTTGAAAGCCAAATTGTTCCTCGTCCTCTGTCAATTCGATGGTACAACCTTCCAGGACTATCATACCCACTGGCTCTTTATCGCCACGTCGCTCAAAGTAAAATAATATATTTCCTTTGAGAACGAACCACCTTCTTTGATATCCACGATTCAGTTCACCGCGTTTGTTTAACCAACCCTCGCGATCTACCGGTGTCGCCGAAGTAGCGAAAGCTACCATATTTTTCTCGTTTATTTTCATTGCATTTGAAATTGTACTGTTAAATAGATGGTTGTCAAACAACGTTGTTACGATTTTCCGCTCAAGACGATCTTATCAAATTTATGCGATGCTTTCTTCGTTCGATGCTCTTGATTAAAGAACAAACAAACGGAACTGTTTTACTTTTCGATGCTTTCGAATCTTTACGTTTAAAGATAGGTTAACTGTACACAATTTTTACATCGTGTATTTAAGGTTAACTTTAAACGTCAAAATAGCTGGATTCTTGCGATCGATGTACTTTGAAGAATATAAAGCGAAAATTTGTAATTATTTAAATACTTATTGTGCACTGTTTAATCGATGTTTCTTTATACGATGTATCTCGCTTTGTCTATTTTGACATTTCACAACGTATGTTTACACATTTGGCAAGTTGATGTACTAACCTTCCATGACAGTAAAAAAAAAAAGACGCAATGGTGGGATAAAAGTAGAAACGTCACAGAATTTCTATAGATTTGTTATACGTGTTGTTTGTTAAACGCGTAACGATATATTAATTCATCTCTGATACGTGTCGATTTAGTAATTCAAAATGGGAAAAGGATTTAATAATTACATGTGCAAGAAGTTTTTCCATCCAGCATCTCGAGATAACTTAAAACGAGTAAGCTTCTTATTTTGTCGTAAAAGCTTCTTATATAGGTTATGTATAGTACGAGTAATGATTAAATTACCGACTGTGTTTTTATTAGGTATGGATGGCTGAACAGCAAGCAGAGGCTTACAAGAAAAAGCAGGAGGAATTACGTGTTCAATATGAAAAGGAACAAGATCTTCACAATAACAAGTCGGTCAAATGATTTCCCTTAACGGAATTTTGGAGCCCAGTTTCCACTAACTTTTACCCTGTTTGTTACAGAGCATTACTCAGCAAAGAAAGCAAAGACAAACTTAGTGTAAATTTCATGTACGAACCTCCTCCTGGAGCAAAGAAAGAGCGAGAGAAAGAAGACAACGAGCCGGAGTATAAATTTGAATGGCAACGCAAGTATAACGCGCCTAGAGAAAGTTATTGCAAAGGAGACAGTGAAATCAGAGATCAACCATTTGGTATTCAAGTACGTAACGTACGTTGTATCAAGTGTCATAAGTGGGGACATATAAACACAGGTTTGTAATAATTGTATAATTATTATAAAATATTACATTAAAATCGTGTTTATTAATACATGTTACTTGTAGATAAGGAGTGTCCTCTGTATAGTCAAGCAATGAGTGTAGTAATGGCAAATAATTCGCAAACTCCATCTGCTCCTGATGCTCTGACTCTAGTTCAACAAATGAGAGAAGATGGTTTAGCTCTTAAAAAGTAAGTTAAAATTATATTATCCCTCGGAACAATTTCCCTCTGTCTTTCTTGGTGTCTTATAAACGATTTATTTGCAGATCAGCACTCAATGCTCAACAACATTTACGGGTTCCGGAACATGAACATCTTATGGTCTCTGATGACGAGGAGCAATCAGAAATAACGTTTTTAAAAACTCTGTCCAAGAAAGAAAAGAAAAAGTTATTAAGGTAAATAATTTTCCTTGTATAAATTTTCAGTGACAATCGTTTGCAGGGACAGACTAAATTTTTCTAAAAACATCGATTGCAGGAAATTACAGCAACTCGAAAAAAAGACTAAGAAAACGAAAAAACGAAAGTCGAAACACAAAAAAATAAAACGCAAAAAGAGTAGCAGTGATACAGATAGCGATACGGAGAGTAATAGTAGCGACACTGTTAGTAGTAGCAGTAGTGGTGACAGTACCACTGACAGTGGCCATGTGTCGAAAGAATCGAAAAAGAAACGACAAAAGAAGGAAAAGACAGATTGTAAGATCTCAAACAGTGAAATTACGGATCATCGTAAAAAGAAGGAGAAGCGTAAAATAAATAATCGGAGGGAGGGACGTGAATACGAGTACAAAATGGAAGATAAATACAAAAAGAGTCATCGGAAGGATGAGAAAAAAAGTAAAAACAGAGATTTTGTTAACCACAGGAAGAGAAAAAACATAGAATTTGACGAGGATAGAAATAGTGAAAGGCGCGATAGAAAGAGAACAAAACGATCTAAAGATTAATTATGTTTTTTACACATTTAAGGTATACAATAAATTTAGATTATTCGTAACATGTACGTGGGTATGTCCGCACGCATGCATGAATGCTTGCGCGTGTTTTCTATTCGTACAGAATCACAGAACACTAAGTAAAATAAGATATACGCGTATATAGCTTTTATATACGTATAATGGAAAGTACAATATAATACGAACAGCGGTTTTATTCTTATTAAACTATATAATGTATCTCAAATAAACAACAAAAATTACTGCAAAACGTTGATAAACTGTGCATTTTTCATAATATTAATTTCTGATGGGTGTTTTATACGAGGTGACGTTCGAAGAAAATTTGATAAACAAATATTATTTCAATCCTGTATTATTTCAACTGTAAATGGCTAAAATAGATAAGCTCTTAAACGGCTCAACATTCAACGATATTTCATTATGCGTGTCTAAAATTATCATTACTAAACAAGTGTCGATATTATTTCTGTTTTGACGAGTCCCGTTAAAAAACAGTAACTCTTTAATAAATACTTAGATAGTGCTACTATTGTAATATCACATACATGAAAATAATGCAGTTTTGTAAGATTGCCAACAAGAACCTTAAAATATCTTAACGTAACCTTAATAGATTAATGTTGGTAAAATTTGAATTGTATTAAGCGTTAAGCTTTTCTGTTTCCTTTTACTTGTAGATACCAAGAAGCAAAATATGTTTACTAAGATTCAGCAAAGTGAAAAAATCGACTTGGGGGAGACCTCTCATCGGTTGTCCCGTCTCTTTTCGCCTCTAGTCAAGTCGATTCTTTAAATATTTATATACCGCGAATCAGCAGAGACATACATATACGTATAATATTTGAAAACGTGGCACTCACTTCTTTACATTATAATTTTATTATAGAAAAATGTAATAGAAGTGAAACATTCACTGCATTTTCTGTCTAAAGAAGCAAGAGGGTAATTTCCTATCTTTGAAAATGTTTACCTATAGATGCGTATTATTATGTACGTACGTATGTATCTTACAAAGTATCAATTTCTCACTCTCAACAATTTACTTTTATAATACAGTTAGCTATTAACAAGACTTTTACATACTTATCTTCTAACACGCGTGTGTACACGTTTTACTATGTAAAAGTTAATACTATCCAGCTGGTAGCTGTGAACACTTGGGCAGTTTGAATCTGTTGTGTAATTGTCACTTTCACAATGATTACATCTAGAGTAGAATCGGATTGGTTAGTGATCAGGGAATGACGATTCATTAAGTATATTAAGGCGTTACGAATGCAATTTAACCGCGTTGCCTCTTCTCTAAAAACAAAATTATCCAAAAAATTTATATACAAGACATTACTGCTCGATAAATCACAATTAAGTATGAGCAAAATATGTCCGTTTATAATACCCCTCCGATTCTGCTATAATATAGATCAATGCAGTTTTTCTTCTTTTTTTTTTTTACACTGCTATGATTTTATGTATTCTCTATTATTTTGAAGGAATCAACACTTTATACTAGTGGCAGAACAAGTTTCGAGTCTAGTCGTGTCCAATACTTGAGAAATTACCATGATCTATGTATCCTTTATCGTAAAAGACGTTCAAATGATTTTGGAACGTACGTAAATATTTGTTTAAAAATCATTCGGTTAACTCGAGATACAATGAAGGAATTGCACGATCTATAAATTCTCATAGAGCAAACAATTCGAAAATACAGCACATTCTTTCTTCTTTTTCGGAACGAATCTTTAGGTACACTCAAATCAATTTTCGTTGGCCTAATTTTGTACACTAACGATGAACTCGTAATTGGCGACGAGTCAGACATTTAAAAGAAATCGAATAACTCGTTGCAAACGATGGGATAGCATGTCATCAAAAATATCTCTTACACCTCTCAACAGTACAGCGTCTTTCTTCAAAAGAATGCACCTGTTATCAAAAACCTACGTATATTTACACAACGAAAACATATATAACTTTCCTTCTTTACATCGTAAACAATCGTTAGTCACGCTATGGCAGTTACAGGCCTGCGTAAAATTTGTACGCCGGTAGCACCACTGCTCTACAAGCGTAACTTCTCCTTAGCGTTTAGAATTAGTTGTTGCTATGTATATAGAAGCAAATCACGTTAAATTTGCTAAATGTGACTGTTGTACTACAGAAAAATAAGTAAGCCAGAAAATGATGTTACAAATATTTTTCCAAGATTTAAGATGGAAAAACAGCGTTTTCTCGCGTACTTCTGTCTATGAATCACTATAAACGGTTCGACAGTTGACTTATATCTGTCATTTCGGTATCTTCCACGTTATGTGAACCTACTACGTGATGCCTAGAAATCAAAAAATAAAATAGTTGGGGGATTAAAATAAAATATCGAAGTTAACGGTACCTGTGGTGGTTATAATGAGACGATGTACGAAGATGGGTGTCGGGTGATCTTGGCGATAAGCTATGAAGACTTCCACTGAACCCTGTACATAGAAGACCTTTGCGAGGACTTCTAGCATTTACAACTCTTGGTTGCGAGTACATCTCTTCCAGAACGCTCGGTGCTACATACGTGAAACCCTGTAAACGGTCAATTGTATTTTGTTTTACCGTTCAAAGTAGTTGATTTACTATCGTAGAAGCATATCGTGTTACTTACTTGAAATATCATATTAGCAGATTCGCTTAATGTACTTTCAACTGGAGAATCGACCGGTACGGTTGCCGTAAACTGTTCGTCAAATTGCGACGTATCATCGGCGCTTTTCTATAAATATTTCGAAATGCATTTATTTACTGTCCCACTATTCTATATTAACACGTTGACTGCCAAAGCGAAATCGTTAGACGTCGCGAAGAGGCCACGCTTATTCGATGCGATACAACACCTACTAAGCGCCGGCCGACATAACTTGGCGCGGTGCCACGACATAACCCGATATGGCAATCAACGTGTTAATTAAAGTTACTTACTAACGATGGTTTAAAGGGTGGTTCTAGCTTTCGAGAAATTACATCCTGCCAATTAATATGCTTAAAAAAGTTATGATTCATAATTTGTTCGGCATCTTCGAAACCGGATCCCAATCTTTGAAGTACTTGTCTCTGTAAGCAATACGTGGAACATAGTTTTTATACGAGTCACTTTTCCCAACGGTATCGCATGCGATAAAATTTTGCTAACGATACCTTTAATAATTTTCGTATCAAGTCTCTCGCATCTGGTGTTAGATATTGCGGAAGACTCAGTTTTCCTCGTAAAATTTTTTCAATTGTTTTCCTTCTGTCGTCTCCTGTAAACGGTGGCTGTAAACGAGGAATACGCAAAATTATTCCGTCTATTTTAATCATCGAAAACTTTTTAATAACTTTCTGTTTATTTCATTCGCGTACCATTCCGGTAAGCATGTCGAACATTAGCGCACCTAAACTCCACCAGTCAACAGCCTTGCCATGTCCGCTTCTCGTTAAGATTTCTGGTGCCCTAAACACGTTAGCGTTATTTTGGTATGCAGTTTATTCTTAGTTTTGAATAAAAAACGCTGTACTTACATGTATTCTATAGTGCCGCAAAATGTATGCGTCACTGTACCTTCTTGTATATGCTCTTTGCACAAACCGAAGTCTGTTAATTTAACATGACCTTCGCTGTCTAGTAAAATATTTTCTGGCTTCAAATCTCTGCAACAACGATCGATATCGTTAGATGTATGCGCAATACACACTTCGGTAATGGTAAATAATTAAAACAACCGTACCTGTATATAATACCTTGATTGTGAAGATGTTGCAATGCGAGGATAATTTCGGACAAATAAAAACTGCAAGCAAAAACAGACACAGGAGATATTGATCCATGAAATATTACGAAACAAATGACTACGAAATCGGTTAACTTACCATGCTGTGTCTTCCAAAAAAATGCCTTCTCTATCTAAGTATGTGAAAAGTTCTCCGCCGCAAAGATATTCCAATATTAAATATAATTTGCCACCGGTTTGAAAAGCATACATCAGATTCACAATGAACGGATGCTATAATAAAAATAAACTAAATAGCTATAGTGTTATCACGTTTGATGAATTATACTTACTTTTACAGCCTCTAAGATATTTCTTTCCGCCTTTGTATGAGCTGTATCTTTCTGATTTCGTATGATAGAAGCTTTTCTTAATACCTACAGGTAGTAGAAATTGTCAACGTTCTTTCATTGTGTTCTTTTTGTTTGTGCACAAGCAAAAATATTTACCTTCATCGCAAAAATGCTGCCTTTATCTTTTCCTGTGACTTTTTTTACTTGAAAAACTTTTCCGTATCCACCTTCTCCAAGAATCTTGCACAATTCAAAGTCTTGCGGTCCAGTTTTCTCTTGTCCTGGATTGACATTTTGCTCTGATAATTGAACTCTTTCTAAATTATCGGATCTGTTAAAGAAAATATTTCTGTAGTTCCTTTTTTCCAAGGTGCGAAAGAGAGGGAGGTGGTTAAAATGAATTTAACAGCAAATTCGTATCGTTTTGTAAATATTGTAGGGTTTAGCTGTAAGGTCAATGTCGTTGACCTTCAAAAGCTATAATACTTACTCTAATATAGTATTCGCGTTCGTGGCATGATTGTACTCGTCCTAAAAATAAAGAGAAATGAATGAGAGATCCGGTATAAACAGCAGAAGAATTTATTAAAAGCTCGGCCAAAAAACGAACTTCTCTGCTTTCAAGAATATCGTTGTCTGACTCGTCTTGATTTACGGAATCTCCATCGTGTAATTCTATGTCAAATACACCAGCCATCCTCTTTACGACGAAATCACATTTAAGAATTTCTCTGGTTAGTAGTTTTAATTGATCGTAACGTGTTCGAATAATGTAGGTAAACGTATGTGCGTAAAAGCGATGGAATGTTACTTCTTTTTTATTCGTCTGTCCCAACGCACTTATTTCGTGGCGGATAGATCGAACTATCTACGACCGTCAGCCGTAAATTATAACTGAAATCATAAGTGTTATCGTGAGGAATGTCTGTTCTTTTTTTAGGAAATAATCAGACGAAAACGTAACAACTTCGCAAAAAAAACACACGATTCACGTAGCCTATGACACAGGGCAACAGGGCATGGACAGCGCAAATAGGAACCCCGATCTACCACGAAATACAGAAAAGATATACAACAGAAACTTTTACGAGGTTTCGTCTCGTCTGAAGTTGAATACGAAATCCGCTACTTTTTACACCGTTGGTTGAAATTCAATCTTCGAAACTTCGATCGTTTCTCTTTCGGTATCTTTCAATCCGCTCGAATCTATTTGCATTTATTTAAAAATCGGTACATATGAATAATTTTTGGACGATCCTACGAAGTACAAAATGACTGTGATTCATAACATTACATTTTGTTTGTTGTGAAAAAAAGTATAAATAAAACCATGTTCGCGACAAAAGCTTATTGGCAGGGCCGATTTTAGCAATATTGGCGTCCTGAGCAAGATTATCGTGGCGCCCCTTTAGGAGTATATACAGGGTGTCCCAAAAATGTTATAACACCTTGAAAGGGGTGGTTCAGGAGGTGATTTTAAACAACTTTTTCCTTAGCGAAAATATTAAATGTTAAATGTTAAATGTTAAATTGTACCCGCTCACAGAGCGGCTTAATGAGCGGTGACCTTCCTGGATGCGCTCAACAGTAATCAATAATAATAAACTATATAGAACGCAAATACTTCGTAACATAAACCTTGTAATATATTTGATGAACTATGAAATAATATTTGTTCAATGTAAGACCACATTTTGCAAATGTTGAGGATAATTAATAGAAACGACATTTGATCCGAAATATATGTATGTGTACGTTCAATTTTAGACGTATAGTACTCGTTTCTGTTCATTACTGCTCCATGCTATATTATCTGGTGTTATCAGAAATGATCGGAGGCGTTCGATGAGTAATTGGTACTCGAATTATTTATTTTTCACAAATGACAGCGTTCCGCTACTGAATTTATCAAAAGAGTAAATCGGCATCGTGGAAAGAAACATGACTTCTATCAGTGAAATTAATTCGATACCTAAAACGAAGAAACCATCGGGTAAGTTTATTGCATAGTAGATTAACTTTGTACGTTATATTTATCATACTTCGTTTGGTACACGTGTAGAGATTACAAATAATTTATTTGTATAATAGAAATTATAATTTCCAAGGTTACTCCTAATTTTTAGTTTTATTATTTTTCGGTAATCGTAGGGTGTTAATTAAATAAGTGATTAAAATACGATACAAGTTTCACAGAACTATTTATAACAAATTTATGTGACATAATGTTTTTCAAATAAATGATTTTATTTAAACAGATAGCGCATTCAAACAACAGCGTTTACCTGCTTGGCAACCAATACTTACTGCTGGAACTGTATTACCAACGTTTTTTGTAATTGGAATTGCGTTTATACCAGTTGGAATTGGATTACTTTATTTTTCTGATCAAGTCAAAGAATACATCATAGATTACACGGAGTGTAATTCTACAAACAAATTTCGTACACAGGATGTGCCTTACAAATGTACAGATTATATAGTAGAAGTACCTAATCATGCTGAACCTTGTATTTGTACAATAGAATTCAAATTACCCTCTGATTTTAATGGAAAAATTTATATGTACTATGGTTTGACGAATTTTTATCAAAATCACAGACGATATGTAAAATCACGTGATGATAATCAGTTGTTAGGAAAGTTGAGCGATGAGGTTTCAGGTGACTGTGGACCATTTGCTTTTGATGCAAACAACACACCTATTGTACCATGTGGTGCTATCGCTAATTCATTATTCAGTGACGAATTGGAATTGTATTCCAAAAAGCATAATGGACCTGTGCCATTAATAAAAACTGGTATAGCTTGGCCCTCAGATAAGAACATTAAGTTTAGAAATCCTGAGGGTAATTTAACAGAAGCATTTAAAGGTTATGCGAAACCAAAGAATTGGACTAAACAAATTTATGAGTTAGATCTGAAGGATGAAAGTAATAATGGTTTACAAAATGAAGATTTAATTGTTTGGATGAGAACTGCTGCCTTGCCGACTTTCAGAAAACTTTATCGTAGGGTGAATCACACAGAACAAGGTTTCTCTGAAGGATTAGTGGAAGGAGACTATATACTTACTGTTAAGTATTGTAAGTGATGTTTAAAGACATTTATTAGATTTACATTTATTAGATTTAGACATTTACAGATATTTATTATGTAAAAATGATATAATAAACTAATAAATATTTTCTTTTTGTAGCATATCCTGTGTCTGCTTTCGATGGCAAGAAAAGAATGATTTTGAGTACTACATCTCTTCTTGGTGGAAAGAATCCTTTTCTTGGTATTGCTTATATAGTTGTAGGATGTATTTGTTTAGTGTTAGGTATTACACTACTAATAATTCACATCAAATGCTCTAAAAGGTAAAGATTAATATCATGTACTTCATATAATTTTCTGTTTTACTTTACACTCAATGGTGTCATGCTTAAGAAAGGCTTTTAATCAGGACAATTTGAAAAATGCAATTGTTTTAAAAATGATTACTTTTTGTCATCTGAAACGTACTATACTTTAGATAATTTACAGTAAAAAATTGATACAAATCAATCAGCAATTGCATTTTAATAAATGTTTTAATATATTGTTTACTCTTTAACAATTTTGGAAATTGTTCACTGCCTTTCAATAGTATTCATTAGAATTTAAAAAAGATAAGAGTATTAAAAATATTTCATGTGTACCAGAAATATAGAAAATACTTTTAAATACGTTTTATTTTTATATATTTTACTTCACCAATTATTATTCACAAAACCATGTGTCTTGAATTCAAAATTGACAATAAACTATTGTGTAATGTATGTTATACAGCAAACTAATGTAAAGATGACTGCAACAAAATATGCTTAGGGCACCGTAATTGTTCTTGTAAGTGTTTGTGATATTGTGTTATGTCTAACCTGCAAGAATGTTAATTATCGTTTTACGTGTGACATGGCTTTATAAATATTTTGTTCGTATCCATTTCTTGTTCATTTTTCTTGTACTTATTTCATATGTTGCGAATGTAAGTTTTTGTTATAGGACAAATCATATGCATGTAGTTGTATTTTGTATTTATTGCCTTTTGTTCATGATTCATAGATAATATAAACATTAAATGCATTGCTTTTATTCGAAAATATAGTTCATAACAATTACAAATAATTTTTTCGTAAATAAAACATTACATACTTTTTATTCTTTAAGTATTTTTTGGTTCATAAATATATGCTTTTTACATTGCACGTCGTACTTAATTATGTTGTGTAGTTTGGAAACACTATGAAACGAGTCATTTAATATAACAACAAATTTAACTTTTTATTTATGTAATGCATCGTTTAGATTTGAATTCATTACATCTGAATTCATTAAAAAAAAAGAATGTTTACAGTATGAAACTGTACTTAGCATGTAATAATTTAAATATAAAGTGTAGAACATTTTATGGCAGATATATTGTTATATATTAATTAAAACGTTTTATTTGCATTGAATGAATGAATTTCCTTTTTGATTCTTTTTAAAGCAATACTTTTTTTTATCAATTTATCAATTGCTTAATAACGTAATAAAACAAATGTATCATTAAAACTAATTGCCAAAGAAAATTCAGTAATTGTCTTATATCTTTTTATAGTGCAACAGAGATGATCAATGTGAGTCCAACTACACCGTACCAAGAATAATTATACATAATTGTTACAAATTTTGAAGAAGATTACGGACATTCTGCATTTAATTTGTAAGTGTTAATATAAAATAATTCAATTTAGATTTCGTGAAATGTAAATGTATAAAGAGTTTTTTAGCAAAACAGACGACAGTTAAACAAAGAAAACTTCTTTAGTTTGCTGTTGAAAAATGGATATAGAAATATTTTAATAAAACGTCCTTTATATAGAATACGAATATTAATAATGTAAACATTATTTATGCACTGTATAATGTACATGACTACATGTTGCAGAAATATAATTAACGGTAAACGGATTTTTAATTACTTATGTATCATGCATTTTTCATGTACATGTATTAAGATGCTCAGAGTAATAGAATCAAAATGTTTATTTTCTTTTTTAAAATCAATAAATCCAACGACTGATGTATCTAGACTTCTTTATTAAATAGTTCAGGCATGTTGGTCTGTCTGAGTGTCTTAATATATTGTTAAATTTTACTTAATTTGTACTATTTCCTTATGTAACATACGTTGGAATTATCGTGTTAGCTTTACTCTAGTCACAAATAAATGTATAAATATATAAATAAAAAGGTTCACATATTTATTAATATACTTGTATACATATGTTTTTAGAAAGTATTCCCTCGAGAAAAGTTTGAAATTTTTAGGACTACAAAGATTCGAATTACTTCAAACATTCTTCGGTACCAGAAATATTTCGAAATTTCAGCCTATCATTTCGTGACATTTATTACTTGTCTATAAAGCGAACATAAATATACATAGTTGTTTTAACTTGTAATCATTCTATCAAGCTATTTTATAAAGAAATTTTATTGTAAAAATCTTTATCAAATTAATCGTATAATTGTCGACTTATTTCGGTACACACCTTGGCCAGTCAACTGTTCGCCATTGAAAACACAGCTTTATGTCATCATATGTTTTCAGTTGCATACTACCACGAGTTAGGCACTTGTGAGCTGCTCAAAGCAGTGCCGACTCATCGCCGAAAAGATCTATAACAAAACGTCTCTCTAGCTTTGTTACAACAGACTTTCCACGGTTTCTTTTGTCGACTGACAACGTGCTGTCAATTTTGTTATCTTTCAACATGATTATAACTTTGAAAAACTTACAACAACAAACGTTTACTGTAGAAATTGATCCGTCGAAAACGGTAGGCGATCGTAACGAATGCGAAATTTTGTGGCTTTTGTGAGGTGTAATATATACTCTAACGATATATTTTTGTAGGTAAGAGATCTGAAACAAAAGATCGAAACCCAGAAAGGTTTTCCCGCTGATCACCAGAAATTGATATACGCTGGTAAGCGATGTGTCTTACATAACCTCATTTTCGCTTCGTTTATTACATTGTTT